CTGTCAGATAACCCGCTGATGCGTCCGACCAACGACCAAACGTGAGGGTTCTCAATCTGGTGATCGGTGATGGCCTGCAAGTAGGGAACCCACTCCTGAGTCCAACACGGCTCTGCGCTTATCGAATATACTTCGCTGCAGGGAAGAGGGAGAAAGAGAGAAAGAGAGAGAGAGAGAGAGTGAACATACGCGTATGGGAGGGCGAAAGAGGGAAGGGGCGAGAAGGACGTGTGAGTCTGAATCAGAATATGTCTGAATGCGGTTCTGCACGGACATGTTTGAGTCTGGATATGTGAGGCAGGGGACCGGTGAGGTGAGGTCTGGAGGCGGAAATGTTAAACGAAAAAAACTCCACGCTTAAGACCCGGGGAACAAACAAACGGACATCGTACACTTACACGGTCTCACGGCAGGTCACATAACGAATGCCTAGAGTCACGCCGCAAACACTGCGCATGCATCGTGCTCATGCAAAACAGCGTGTTGTCCTGGGGAGGGCCACGCGTTCTGAGCACCCTTGTTGTCCCCCTCCTCCTTCTCCTCCTCCTCCTTTCCCCCCTCATTGTCGTCGTCGCCGTCCTTCCCCTCCAACGGTAACGTTGGGCGAGGGGGGAACGCGACTCACACCGCAATCTCACCTACAATCGGAACTCCGCGCGCATCGTCCCTGGGGCAGCTGCGTGGCGAGCGGGGCCGGGGCCCGACCACACGAGTCGCGCGGGGTGTAATAAGTGAGGCGCGAGATGAACGGCAGGAAGAGGGGCACACGTCCTTGGCCACCGAAGGCAAAGGATGGCGAGGAGGAGCACGCAGCAGTGTCCAAGTACCAATGCAGCTCGGCTTGAACCACAACAGCTACACACCCACCCTCTAAGTTCCCGAACGTGTGGTGACGCCTACGTATGCCTACCATCCCACCCCTCCGAAGTCCAGACATATTGACAAACGCATAGGGTTCTCAATGTTCCCAATCTCCCAGTCCAGACTATAAGGCATGAGCACTGGATTCTCACCATTCCGCATCTTTCAGAGGCATAAAGGGCACCAGCAACATCGGGGCCCGACCATTCCAAGCCTCCTAGGTGTAGAATGTGCGGCAAGGACACTGGGCTTCTTTACAAGTCTGTAGGTAAAGGAACCTATGGCAAGGGCATCGGGTGCCAAGCATTCCAAATCTCAGAGTCCAAGGGAGTGTGGCAAAGACACGTGGTTCTCACTACTCGAGGTATCCAAGTTCCTGGAAGTGCGGCGGGGGCCGAGCGAAGTAATAGTGGTCCAAGTAGGCATGTAGCCGCCCGGTGAACCACCGCAACCGTGTATGTTCCCGAGCTTCGGAGCCGCGGCCCCCCGGGTGGCATGTAGCCGAGCCTCCCGCGCCTCCCCCCACCAAATGGGATTGGAAGGGGTCGAAGACGAAGACGAGGACAACCTTCCGCTCACTCACAGGAAAAACTGCAACACCACGCCACGCCACGCCCACTGGGTGGCGACGATGACGACGACGACGGCGGCGGAGACGCCGACAACGTACAGATCCCTACGAGGGTTCCACTCAGCACCAGCACGCACCCACAGGTGTGTGTGTGTGTGTGTTCGTGTGTGCGTGGAGCCATTGGGGGGGATCACATTCGCATTGGGCGGCGCGCCCTGAACAAAATATACACACATACGCACATACATACATACATACATCCATTCATACATACATCAATACATACGCGCATATATGCATGCAAACATGCATACATGCACATATACAGGCATACACATAGACACATATATTTGTCCACATGCACATACATACACACGTGCATCCATCCATCCATCCATACATTCATACATACGCACATACACACATAGACATACACGTACATACATACATACATACATCCATACATCCATACATCCATACATTCATACACACATGCATGCATCCATCCATACGGACATACATACCACACACATATACATATATACATATATATATATGTACACATATTTATATACACATATATATACATACACACATCTACACATACATATACATGTACACACACACATATATATATATATATATATATATATATATATATATGCCGGCCCCCTTGCCGGGCCAGCAGGCTGCGAGGGTGAGGGTTGCAGCTCCCTGTTCCAGTTGCAGTTTCAAAATTTCCATTGTTCCAATCCTGCTTTCTGCTTCCTTACTGTAAGCTGTTGCTGAACGCGCGAGGGGGGGGAACCCCAAACGAGATTTTTACCACGCCCAGATCGTGTTGTCTGAATTCCTGGGGGGCGTGGGACACGTGAACATGCGTGATGTTCGCGTCCCCAAAGCCATAATCCTTAGTACATTATACCATATTCGCGTCCCCGAGGCCATACACCTTCGTAACTTACAACATATTCGCGTCCCCGAAACCATCATCCCTTGTACATTTGTCAATGTTCGCGTTCGCGGAACCACTAACCCTTTGGAATTACATAATATGCGCGCCCCCGAGACCATGCACCCTTGTAAATTACAAAATATGCGCGTCCCCCAAACAATCAAATTTCGAACGTTACATACTATTCGCGTCTCTAGGGCCATAAACCCTCGCAGATTACACCATACTTGCGCCCCCGAGGCCACAAACCGTCGCAGCTTGTACAATATTCGCGTCCCCGAGGCTATACACCCTCGTAAATTACATAATATTTGCGCCCCCGCGGCCATACACCAGCGTACATTGAACAATATTTGCGTCCTCGAGGACATACACCCTTGTAAATTCCCAAATCGTCGCGTCCCCGAAGCCATAAACCATTGTACATTACATAATCTTCGCGCCACCGAAGCCATACACCCTCATACATTAATATTGGCCCTCGCGTGAAATCCCGACTTTGCTTCGCGTCAGCGTCCAGACATCCCAACATAGCTCTGGCAAGTTCCATTCTACGAGAAGGGGGCTGGCGACATAGAGGCGAAGCCCTCATATATATATATGTATATACATACACACACAGATTTTCTGACCGTCGCCGTGCAAATGCACGGTCCCGAACGGGCTTTTTTGGGGGTCTCTTGAGGCCGTTTTCAAGCCATCTTGGGGGCCTCCGGGTCTTCTTGGGGCCCTCTGGGGCCGTCTTGGTCCCTCTGGGCAATCTTGGGGGCCTCTTGGGCTTGTTTTGGAGCGGTCTGGGGGCCCTGTTGGGCTGTCTCGGTGCCCTCTTGGGCTCGTCTTGGGGCCCTCTTGGGCGCCTATTGAGCCATCTTGGAGCGATCTCGGGGGCGTCTTCGGCCGTCTCGAGCGCCCTGGAGACCGAGAAGCCGAGTATGCGAAAATTGCACCGAAACCGATGTAAACTATATAATTTGTGCCTCCCGCGGGCCTCTTGGGAGTCGTCTTCGGGCCTCTTCGCCCATCTGGGGAGCCTGTCGGGCCGTTTAGTAGCCATCTTGGGCCCGTCTTAGGCCCTTCGTGGCTGTCTTGGGGCGCTCGTCGGGCCCTCCTGGAGCCTCCCACGGTCCTCCGGAGTCGTCTAGTGGCCATCAGGGGCCGTCCTGGGCCTTCCTGGCGCGCTCGCGACTCGGGCTCCCCGGACGCACCCAGAGCTGTATCAGGTCAGTTTATATCAAACAGGGAACTGTACCGAATTAGTACAGCTACATACACACATACATACATATATATATATATATATATATAAATACAGAAGTGTGTATATATATATATATAGATATCGGTATGCCCTTTTAATATGTATAAATATTTCTCCATATATTAACCTATAAGTACATACATCGGTGTATGTATGTTTATGTGTATCTGTGTGTCTGTGTGTCTGTGTGTCTGTATGTCTGTATGTCTGTATGCCTGTCTGCCTGCCTGCCTGCCTGCCTGCCTGCCTGCCTGTCTGTCTGTCTGTCTGCCTGTCTGTCTGTCTGTCTGTCTCTGTCTGTCTGTGTGTTTATGTCTGTATGTATGCATGTATGTATGCATGTCTGTACGTACTAATATAGAGATGCCGTATCGGTCTAACCACATGATCGTAGCGGTCCCATCAATCACTGCGGAAGGGGCCTTAGAGAGGGCCAGTGGGGCAGGAGCCCATGGGGCAAGCCATAATGGTCCACGCCCAAGGCCATCACTGTCACAGCAGCCACTGCGGAAAGCGCCAGAGACAGGGCCAAGTAGGCAGGACGGCACATGGAAGCCACATCGGTCCAAATACAACGCCAGAGCTGTCCAGGCAACCACGGCGCAAAGAGGCAGAACCAAGGCCAGTGGCGTGGGCAACCACAGCGGATTCATAGCGTTCGAACCATGGAGGTCCAAGCGGCCAGTGGAAATCCTTCGGCTTCGAGCGATCCCCACCGAAACCTTCGGCGTTTGTTCCCAGCGGTGCGCGCGCCTCTGTGCGCGGGGCAGACACGGCGTGCCTTCGGGGCGCTTGTCGCATTTGACGCGTCGTCGAATCGGTTATTGCTGCGCCTGTGTGTCCCTGTGATCAGCCTGGCGGCGGGGCGCATGTCTCGTTTGATGAGACGCCGTGAAGCGGTGGCTAGCGTACACGTAATACTGTGCTACATTATGCTCGGTTCGGTCCTGCCACAGTGTAGTCTATGGTGCTATGTTCTGGTATGTTCTGTTGTGGACGGGCTGGCGTGATGTTGTGACGCCTTCCACGTTTGGTATGTCTTCTACTCGGTCGTTGCTGCTACTGTTAGTTTTTGTGGCCAGCCTGGGTTGGCGCACGTGTCGCGTATGATCGGCCGCCAATAGTCGGTCTCTGCTGAATTCTACTATATCACGTTGTGTTCGGTTTTGTTCTGTTCTATGCGCATATGTTTGCTTATGTTATGCTCTCGACGGGGTTGCGTGACGTCGTGGCGCCTGTCGAGTTTGATATGTCTTCGAATCGGTCGTTGCCGCATCTGTTTTCCTGTGGCCAGGCGCCGATGCTGCGTTTGACAGTGCGCCCTTGATCTGTCGTCGCTGTATTTAACAATGTTCAATCTGTTGTGCTCGATTAGGTTCTTTTCTGCTATGCTGCAATCAGATCTGCTATGTTATCGACGGGACGGCGTGACGCCGTGATGCCTGTCACGTTAGATACGTCATCCGATCGGTCGTTGCTGCGCCTGTTTGTATCTGTGGCCGGGTTGACCTCGGCGCGCACGTCGTGATTGATTCTGTTATGGTACGGCCCGGTTATGCTATGAAGTTCATCTTCAAATTCGTTGTCCCCTGGTGTTGAAGTATGTTCGGTTATGCTCACTTCTGTCATTGTATGACTTGTTATGGTCTGTTATGCTCTGCTGAGTGGCGCTACTTTATGACATGATACGTATTTTCTGTCAAGTCAGGTTATGTCCTGCTCTTCTCTGTGATGCTGTTTAAGGTATGCTCAGTTCATAATAATTTATTAACATATGCTCCGCTATGGCATACATCGCCCATGAATTTAAGCATGAAGTATCGATTCTGATAATTTTCAAAATTTTCAGGTTTTCCCGTTCTTCCGCGTAGGCTCCAAGGACGAATGGTCGAGCGCATTCCGTCGCGCAGGTTCTTTGCGTGATGTGCGCGGTGCGTTTTTCGCGCATCGGAGCGCCGTCGGTGTTTTGCTCTTGGGGAGTCCGGGAGTCGCAACTGCCGTTGCGCGATTTTCGAGGTAACCCCTTCGAGTGCTGTTCGCGGGCGCAGCGCGCGGCGCGCGCTGCGCCCAATCGCACGCGGCACGGTGCGTGAATCAACCAGCCGCGCCCGTCGGACCGCCCGGAAATTATTTCGGGATTGTAGAATGTTTCGAAAAACGCTTCCGTTTTTTGGCGCAAGCGATTCAGGAAATTTTCAAAAAATAGTCCGGACATCTTCAAACAAAGAAACAGTTTTCTAGGAAGAGATGCGCCCGCCGCGCAAGACATCTTAAATAATCGTAAATTTGGAATTTTAAGAAATGGATTCCGGAATTTGTCAAAATCGATCCCCGATTTTTTCAAAATCGATTCCGGGATTTTGTCAAACAAACTTGCCATTTTCAACAGCGTTTCTGGATTTTTCACGTCTGCCCCTGGAGAATTTTCCAGAGCCGCGCGTGATTTGCCTTACCAAGTCTTTGGAAATCCACCGAGGCGCGCAGTGCGCGGCGGCGGGCGACAGGACGGTGCGCCACCGTCCCCCCGGCGCTCGGCAACGAAAAGGGGGATCAGCAAGTGCCAAATAGCCCCCACGGACGACTACTCGACTGCTGATGGGTGACCGACCAGCGGCGCCAGGCAGAATAGACAATACTCGATGCAAACTGTACCCCGCGCAAAGGCTGTTAGAAATCCCGGAATCCCCAGAACGTATCAATAGAACGTTGTGTCAATAAATTCTTCTCAAATCACTGGCGTAGGGTTAGCAGTAGCACAATTCCGCTATGTTATGCTGGCGACGGTGTGCCCTATTCGTATATTATGCTGATTTGATGATGTTATATTATGCTGTGCTCTATTTAAACCTGTTCGGTTCTCGACGGGCCGTCGTGATGTCACGATCGATATGTCGTACGATTATTCGTTGCTGCGCCTGTTTGCTCCTGTGGCCAGCCTGACCTCGACGCGCAGGTCGCGTTTGATAATAGTGTAGTGCACTGAAATATGTTGTCGTGTCCCTATTCACTTACGTTTCTCTTCTGTTACAATATGCTCTGTTATGCTCACTTCTGTCACAATCTGCTTTCATATATTTCTTATGTTCTGCTCTGTGGCACCGTGCTATGGCATAATATGTTACGTCAAGTTATGTTATGCCATGATACTTGTGTGATGCTGTTTGCGCTGCGTCGTGCTAGATTCATTATGTTATGTGATGTTTTGTTATGCCCAGATAGCTCTCTGCGAACCTTGGACGTTGCATTACAATCGTTGCAATCGTTGTGTTGTTATGTTGACGTATGATCGATGCTGACTTCTGTCATGCTGTGTTCTGGCATGACATGTGATGTTATGCATTGTTAGAATAGTTTATGACCTGCAGTGTCATAACATGTGATGCGGCGCGCTTCATGCTATGCTTTATCATGCGGCGCGCTTCATGCTATGCTTTATCATGTCATGGCATGCTCGGTTGTGTGATGCTGTGGTACGGTATGTTGTGCTTTGCTACAAAGTGTATGTTATGTGGTGTTCGACTCTGTTACGTTCGTTTTATGATACGGTATGTTGGCTCATGCTGCGTTGTGGTCAGCTATGCCCTGTTATGATGGATGGTGTTATGCTATGTTATGTGTGGCCTGCTCTGTCATAGCATGCGATGTTATGCGGTGTTGCGTAATGGTATGCTGACATTATGTTCGAGCTTGTTATGCCATGCTGTGCTATGTTTTGCGATGCCGTGTTATGTTGTGATTTGCTCTGTATTGCTATGATACGTATGCTCCACTCTGTCATTGCATGCGTTGCCATGCCCTGTTCTGCTATGGTGTGCGGTGCTAGGCTGTGTTATGTATGACCCGCCCGGTCGTAGCATGCCTTGCTATGCTATAGTATGGTTATACTAAGCTCTGTGCGGTCATGCTGCGTTATGTTATGCTCCGTTCTGCCATTTTAGGATCTGTTTTGCTCTGCTCTATCATTGAAGAGGAGGAGGAGAAGGAGGAAGAGGAGGAGGATCACGTCGTTATGCTATGCTCAACTCTGCCAGGCTCTGTCGTGCTCGTCGTCGGCGCGAGGCGCCGAGGCGGGCGCCTCGGGGGATACTCGATAGACCTGGGGATCTGGCGGCCGCGGTGTCCAGGGTGGTCAGGCCAGGAGGTCTGCTGTTAAAACCAAACGACCCCAACCTGTCAGGTGGGGAACAGAGGCCAGAGTGTTCCAATCGCCAGGCCATTGCGGTCGTGCACGCGTTCCCACACAGCACGTGAGAACCCTGAAGCGCGAGCATTGCTTGCAATCGATTCGGTATCAATGGGAGCCCACCGTAATGTCAACATCGAGTCAAACCACTCGAATTGCTCGGGGGGAACCTTGGATGCTTTGTTCTGGTACAGAAGAAACGCTCCAAGGCTGCTCGTTCATTGCCGGCCTGTGAGGAGAACAGCTCGCCGGCGGGACGGGGCAAACCTTGAACCGCAGCAACGTGCACCGCTTGCCTGCTGGCGGCCGGGCGCTCCTTGAGCCCACCCTTCACCATAATCACCCCATCCTCCTCGAACTGCGCGACCTGTGGAGGAGGAGAAGGAGGAGGAGGAGGAGGAGAGGAGGAGGAGGAGGAGGAGGAGGAGGAGGAGAGAGGAGGAGGCGGGGGAGGAGGAGGAGGAGGAGGAGGAGGAGGAGCAGGGGGAGGAGGGGAGGTGGAGGAGGAGGAGGAGGAGGAGGAGAGGAGGAGGAGGAGGAGGAGGAGGAGGAGGAGGAGAGGAGGAGAGAGAGGAGGAGGAGGAGGAGGAGAGGAGGAGGAGAGGGGGAGCAGGGGGAGGAGGAGGAGAGGAGGGAGGGAGGAGGAGGAGGAGGAGGAGGAGGAGGAGGAGGAGGAGGAGGAGGACGGGGAGGAGGAGGAGGAGGCTCAGTCTGTCCTCCCCCTCGGGGCCCGGCCGCTCTCTCGTGCCTCTCGGTCTGCCTCCCCGGTGCTGCTCGTCCGCGGGGCCTGCGGTTGCCCCCCCCCCCCATCCCTCCTCTGCGCAGTCATTGCTGCTCCCCTCCTCCTCCTCCTCCGCTCCTCCTCGTTTCCTCCCTCCTCCTCCTCCTCCTCCTCTTCCTCCTCCTCCTCTCCCTCCTCCTCCTCCTCCTCCTCCTCTTCCTCCTCCTCCTCTTCATCCTCCTCCTCCTCCTGCTCCTCCGCCTCCTCCCTCCTCCTGCGCAGTCCTTGCTGCTCCTCCTCGCTCGCTCCCTGCATTCTGACAGGAGAGCTCAGGATCGAATTGACAAGTCTCATCGGCGATGGAAGGGAATCGGATCGGCGGAAATCGGCAGCCAAGTCGGGAGGAGTCGGATCGGCAGAAATCGGCAGGCTGGTAGGCCTCCGTTTAGGAATCGGAATCCAGATCGGAGTCCGAATCGGGCTCGGAATGCATCGAAATCGAATCGAATCGAGTCGAAGGAATCGAAACGAGCCCTGGACAGGTGTCCACGCTCGAGGCGTACTGTCGGATCACGGCCAGTGCCAAGTCGCAGTCGCGCGTCTCCGCGCCCCGCCGAGCTGTGCGGGCGAGAGCACGCGATCGCAGCGCGGCGAAGGGTTGGCGCAAGATCCAATGGGACACCGCATCGTCGGCAGGCGAACAGATCGGGAGATGGCTGGTGTGCCCCTCCTCGTGCCAAGCCCTTGGACGAGCAACTGTTGCTCGTGACACCAGCAGAACTGAGCCGATCGACATCAACATCTCGGGTTGCCTGATCGGGCTGGAGTCCACGCGTTCTTCGCTTTGCAGGATGACATTCAGATCAGAGTTCGGGACCACTACTACGTCGGGCATGTCCCCCTGCAGGCAAATTTTGGACGACAAATGAAGCATAGCCAAAAAAACGTACGCAAATTTAGCCATAAATGATAAAAATCGACCCCAGGCTACTTTTGTACTATTTTTGGAGTTTCCTCCTGTAGAGGGACATGTCCGACTTAAGACCACTACCACTAGGCCTCCACGAGCCAATCTTGGGCCCACACCCTGGTGTCCACCCAGGCTGGGCCACAAGCTGGGGCCGTGGGGCCTGGTGGTGCTGGTTGGCTTCCTCTTGTCCCCACGGCCGGGCAGACGTTGCTCTCCTCCTCCTCCTCCTCCTCCTCCTCTTCCTGCTCCTGCTCCTGCTCCTCCTCCTCCTCCTCCTCCTCCTCCTCTTCCTCCTCCTCCTCCTCCTCCTCCCTGTGTCGCGGGCATCTTGCTACTCCTCTGTCGCCTCTCCCCCGCTGCCATCGAAGGTCGTGGTCGTCTGGCTGCCCCAGGTGTGCCAGGGCGGGGCCCAGGAGCAACGGAGCCTGCCCCCCCCCCCAGGACACGACGCCCCTAGAGGCCCGAGGAAGGCGTGGTTGGTTGCCCCTGGGCCCCGCCTGTCCTTCTGGGTGGCCGACCGAGGAGGGGTATCAGGACGAGAGCGACGACGAGGTCGACGACGAGGTCGACGACGACGACCGCCAAGGACAGAGGGACAGATGGCCGCCTGCTGCTCGGATATGTGGAGCGTCTGCGGGGGCTGTCCAGCCACCACGCCCGCGGGCAGCGACACTCTGGGGTCCTCGCCGAGGCTGCGGCGGAGGAGGCGGAGGAGGAGGACGAGGAGGACGAGGAGGAGGACGGAGAGACAGACGAGGGAGAGGCTGATGATAACGAGTGGGGATATCGAAGGGACTTAGGTCTTCCAAAAAGGCGGGTGGGACGACGACAGGGAATAATTCGGGAGACTTCGGCGACGACGGAATCGAGGAACGCCAGCTGAGACGCGGTGCCACCTCGGGGCCTCCAACCTCCTGGGCACCAGGTGTGGCACAGTCTTGCTTTCGGCAGAGCGTGAAATCACCAACTTACCGTCCTTGGTCGGGGGATGCCCCTTCTCTCTCCCCTGACGGCAACATGTTGTGCACCAGTATGTGGCGCAACACTCAGCATGGCTCTTGGTGTGGGAGGGGATAGGCCAGTTTTGTTTTGTTTTGCGCCCTCTCCCAAGCAGCGCTCCCTTTTACGCGGAGCGAAGCCCTGCGGGTCGGTCTGTGGCCCGCGGCCCCCCGCGCACGTGCGGAGCCCCACTGCTCGCGCAATCATCCCACCCACCCGCCCGCAACTTGGTTTGCAAAACCCATGCGGGAGCGATTGCGGTGAGTGCTGGGTGTTGGCTGGTGCATCTCTGTGGCCGCGCTCGCCCGCGCATGCTCTCGCGCGCAGCGGCCAGCTATTTTGGCGCGACCGACGCGAAAACAGTAGCGCTGACCGCTCGGCACATCCCAGCGGACACTTCCATGCGAGTCGACGGCTGGGGAGGGGACGGTAACCCAGTGCTCCCGATAACAATCCCCTGGGGATAATAAAGTTCGGGGGTCTGGCGGGAATGATCAACGATTTCCCTGGCGAAGGCGATTATTCTGCTGATGATGATGACGATCCTGGGTGTTCGTGTAGACTGACCTATTATTATTATTCGCAGCAGTAGCAGTAGTAGTAGTAGTAGTAGTAGTAGTAGTAGTAGTAGTAGTAGTACTAGTAGTAGTAGTAGTAGTAGTAGTAGTAGTAGTAGTAGGAGTAGTCGTAGTAGTAGTAATCGTAGTGATGGTAGTAGTAGTAGTAGTAGTAGTAGTAGTAGTAGTAGTCGTAGTAGTAATAGTAGTAGTAGTAGTAGTAGTAGTAGTAGTAGTAGTAGTAGTAGTAGTAGTAGTAGTAGTAGTAGTAGTAGTAGTAGTATTAGTAGGAGTAGTAGTAGTAGTAGTAGTAGTAGTAGTAGTAGTAGTAGTAGTAGTAGTAGTAGTAGTAGTAGTAGTAGTAGTAGTAATAGTAGTAGTAGTAGTAGTAGTAGTAGTAGTAGTAGTAGTAGTAGTAGTAGTCGTAGTAGTAGCCCGCAACTTGTTTTTGTAAACCCCATGCGGCGGCGATTGCGATGACTGCTCGGCGCTGGCTGGTGCATCTTTGCGGCCGCGACAGCCCGCGCATGCGCGTGCGCGCGCAACGGTCAGCTACTTTGGCGCGACCGACGCAACCGCGGTGGCGCTGACCGCTGGGCACATCCCAGCGGGCACTTCGGTGCGAGTCGGCGACTTGGGCGGGCGCGGTATCATGGCAACGTTGCCAACGGTAGACACGATGATGATAGCACAGATGCTGGTGAAGATGCTGACAGCGACGACGGCACGGCCTGTGACGGCGCGGGTGCTATCACGCCGACGACGATGACGGCGCCCTCGCGTCGGTCATGCAGATTTTGTGAAAGAGTTCGACATGCGCGTGCGGCCGACGCGCAAGAGTGGCCCGCATGGTTTTATTTGACACGGACCGTGCCCCCCCCCTAACACGCGCGCAAAGACGTGCGAATGATGTCGGCATGCGGCGCCAGAGGCCTGCATAGCAGAATTTCATGGACATGTTGAACATTTTTTTTTTTTTTTTTTTTTGTTCCTAAGATCTCGCTAGAGCGCGCGCACATTTTAGTTGCTGCTTACTTTTTGTTGTGTGTGTGTTGACAACAGATGTCGAAACCTTGTGCTTGTACGTGTTTTTGGGACATTCAGTTTTGAAATCGTTGCGAAACCAACGGTTTTTGAAGGATGTCGGCATGCGCGACGACGCGCGCGTGCACTTCGTCTCATTTCTTGAAGAGGTTTCTCCTGGCGGCATGCGCGCAAAGGGCGTTCGAACAATTTCAATATTCGCGCGCGCGATGCCCGTTTGGTGGTATTTTCCGAAAGCGTTGAAAAGTCAAGGTTTCCTTAAGAATTCGCGAGAACGGTCGCGTTTTTTTTTGTTTTTGTTTTTTTTGTTTGTGTGTGTGTGTGTTTGTTTGAAATCCGTGTTGCGAAACCCTGTGCTTCTATATGCTTTTGGGACACTCTATTTTGACTTCCTTACGAAATCGACGGTTTTTGAAGGATTTCGGCATGCGCCCACGCGACGACGATTGAGTGTGCACTTCGTTCAGTTCCTCTTGTTCTTCGAACGATTCTTGAATTCTTTTGATTTTTGATAAACGGGTGTGCGTGCATAATGTTTTTTGCAAAAGATGGCGGGTGGGGGGTCGATATTGGCTGCGCCGGGATGGTATGAATTAGTATTTAGGACGGGCGATGGGGCAGAACCATATGTAAATCGCAAGTTTAAAAGGTGTGCCAATAAACACGGGGGGGATCCTAATCTTCTCAAGAAAAGAGAATATAGGTGGTGCAAACTACGTGATGCAATCTATCATGACTGTCTTGATGCTGTCCTCGCCACTGCTCGTGCAAACATCCCACCCTCCCGCCCGCAACTTGGTCGCAAGACGTCTTAAGACCGTGACGGTAGGTACCAAATGGCACGTGGCGGCGGCACCGACGCCGACGACGACAGCGACGACGACGACGACGATGCCGACGACGACTACGACGACATCGACGACGACTCCGACGACTTCGACGACGACGACGACAACGACGACGACGATACCGGCGACGACGACGACGACGCCGACGCCGACGACGACGATGACGCCGACGACGACGACGCCGCCGACGACGACGACGACAACGACGACGCCGACGCCGAGGACGACGCCGACGACGATGACGACGACGGCGACGAAATTGGAGGGACGACGACGAGACGCTGACGATCGACGACGACGAGGGAGGAGGAAGGACGACCACGGCGACACCGACGACGGAAACGACGATGACGCAAAAGAGGACGACGAGGGCGACGACGAGGAAACACACGCTGATCATGCCGACGACGATTACGGCATCTTCGCGTCGGTGATGAAGGTTTTCGAAGGAATTCGGAATGCGCAGGCGGCAGACGCGCGAGAGTGGCTCGCATGATATTGCTTGACACGGATCTTGCCACCCCAGCACGCGCGCAAGGGGCGTTCGAACGATTTCGACATGCGCGCGCGAGAAGCCCGTTGGGTAGCGTTTTATGACAATGTTGACAAACTTATGCTTTCCTTTAGCATTCGCAAGAGCACGCGCGCCTCTTTTTTTGTTTGTTTTTTTGTTTATCTTCTTTTAAATCACAAGCATTTTTTAATTATTAGTATCATAAAACATATTATTATATATAAAAACTGTTGTTTGAAACTCCGTTTTGCGGAACTATGTGTTTTATTTGACAATTTATTTTGAACTCCTTCCGATACCGAAGGTTTCTGAAGGATTTCGGCATGCACGCGCGACGACGCGCGCGTGTGCACTTCGTCGCATTTTTTTTTGCAAGGAATTCGGGAACACTCATGATTTTTGATGAACGAGTGCGCGCGCATAGTGTCTTTTGAAAAGGATGGCGGGGGGGGGGCGATACCCCCCCCCTTCGATAATCTGAATTCATATTTAAGATGGACGATGGGGCAGAACCATATGTAAATTGCAATACGACAAACGGGATCGTTAAGTCCGGGGGGGGTGGTAGGATTTCTTATCTTTGTAGGAGGGATAATGTATGTGGTGCAAGCAATGCGGTGCAACCGGTGTTGTTCAATCTATGTTAAGCAATGGGTGCAATCTACGTGGTGCAAACCATCTAGTGTGAGCTGCATGGCGCAATGTACGGGGTGCAGTTCGCTTGCCGAAATTGCAATTGTCAGCTCCATTGCTCGCGCAATCGTCCCACCCACCCACCCGCAACTTGGTTTGCAAAACTCATGCGGGAGCGATTGCGATGAGTGCAGGGTGTTGGCTGGTGCATCTCTGCGGCCGCGCTAGCCCGCGTATGCTCGCGCGCGCAGCGGCCAACTAGTTTGGCGCGACCGACGCGGGCGCGGTGGCGCTGACCGCTCGGCACATCCCAGCGGGCACTTCAGTGCGAGTCGGCGACTTGGGTGGGCGCGGTATCATGGCAACGTCGACAAAAGGTAGACACGATGAGGATAGTAGCGATGCTGGCGACGATGCTGACAGCAACGACGGGGCAGCCAGTGACGGCGCCGATGCTGGTCACGCCAACGACGATGACGGCGTCTTCGCGTCGGTGATGAAGGTTTTGGAAGGAATTCGGCATGCGCGCGGCAGGCTTGCGAGAGTGGCCCGCATGGTGTTCTTTGACACGGATCGTGCCGCCCCAGCGCGCGCGCAAAGGCGTTCGAACGATTTCGACATGCGCGCGCGCGAAGCGCGATGGGTAGCATTTTATGAAAATGCTGAAACCACTTATCGTCTTCTTAGACTTCGCAAGAGCGCGCGCGCACGCGGTTGTTGAAAATCCGTGTTGGGAAATCCTGCGTTTCTGTATTTTTTGGGCAATCGGTTTTGAAACCCTTCTGAAGCTGACGGTTTTTCACTGATTTCGGCATGCGCGCGCGACGACGCGCGCGCGTGCACTTCGTTTTTTTTTTTTGTTGCAAAGGATTCTCGCGACGGCACGCGCGCAAAGGGCGTTCGAACGTTTTCGGCATGCGCGCGCGCAAAAGCCCGCCTGGTAGCGTTTTATGGCACCGTTGAAACATCTATGGCTTTCGTATGAATTCGCAAGAGCGCGCGAATGTTTTTTCCTCTCTCTCTCTCTCTCCCTTCATTCTGGCACAAAAAAAGAAACAAGTAATACACAGCCCTATATGTGTAAACGTCTTCTTCTTAATCATTATATATATGTATATATTGGACACTCGATTTTGTAATCTTTTCGAGCCCGATGGTTTTGGAACGATTTCGGCATGCGCGCGCGAGGCCCGTTTGGTAGTTTTTTGTTGGAAACCTGGAACACTTCTTGTTTTAAGATTTCGCAAGAGCGCGCGTAAGCTTTTGTAGACAAGCCGTGTTGCGACACCCTGTGTTTTCGCATGTTTTTTTTGGGCAACTCGATTTTGCAATCCTTCCGAACCTCATTGTTTTTCGATGATTTGGGCATGCGCGCGCGACGACGCGCGTGTGTGCATTTCGTATCGTTTTTTTGCACAGGATTCTCGCGACGGCACGCACGCAAAGGGCGTTCGAACGATTTCGACATGCGCGCGCGCAAAACCCGTTTGGAATAATTTTATGGCAATGTTGAAACATGTATGGCTTCCGTATGAACCCTCCATTATGCTAACGGGGTTCCCCACATAATGCTGTTATTTTGATAGCGGAATCAAGAATTGCCGACCTGCCCTCGCCCTCTCCATCCTTTTCTATCACATTGTTTGCGAGTACCCTCCTCGCTCAGGCGGGGCCTCCCTGGAGGGGTGGGAGGGGCACGAAACCTGATACATAACACTGTTTTCGAATAGCGTCCTCGCTCAAGCGGGGCCTCCCTGGAGGGGTTGGAGGGGCACGGAACCTGATAAATAGCACTGTTTTCGAATAGCGTCCTCGCTCAGGCGGGGCCTCCCTGGAGGGGTGGGAGGGGCACGACACCTGATAAATATCACTGTTTTCGAAGTGCGTCCTCGCTCAGGCGGGGCCTCCCTGGAGGGGTGGGAGTGGCACGAAACCTTATAAATAACACTGTTTTCGAATAGCGTCCTCGCTCAGGCGGGGCCTCCCTGGAGAGGTGGGAGGGGCACGAAACCTGATACATAACACTGTTTTCGAATAGCGTCCTCGCTCAGGCGGGGCCTCCCTGGAGGGGTGGGAGGGGCGCATGGTATTGGTATGGTTTTGGTATGGTATTGGTGTGGTGGGAGGGAGCTCATACGAAACCTGATACATAACAGGTGTTGCATGGTATTGGTATGGTATTGGTATGGTATGGTATGGTTGGTATGGTATTGGTATGGTATTGTATTGGTATGGTATGGCTTGGTCTGGTTTGGTATGGTATTGGTATTGGTATGGTATTGGTATGGTAGGGCTTGGTATGGTATGGTATTGGTATGGTATGGTATTGGTATGGTATGGCTTGGTATGGTATGGTATTGGTATGGTATTGGTATGGCATGGCTTGGTATGGTATGGTGATGTGCGGAATGGTATCGTATGGTATGGTTTAGGAGAAGGACGCGGGAGGAGTAGAAGGAGGAGGAGAAGGAGAGGGTGTTCTGGGAAAACAAGAACCCCACTCAGGATGTGGGGAACAATTGTACTTATATAAATGTATTATTGTCTTCTTCTTATTTCTTTATTCATAGATATTTACAGATGTATTGGACACTCGATTTTGGAATCTTTCCGAATCCGAAGGTTTTGGGACGATTTCGACATGCGCGCGCGCGAAGCCCGTGATTTTTTAAGAAAAGAATATAAAAAACATGGGTAACTCATTGTCTTCTTAAGATTTCGCAAGAGCGCGCGCAAGCTTTTGTAGACACGCCGTGTTGCGAAACCCTTTGTCGTTGTATGCTTTTTGTTGGAAACTCGATTTTGAAATCCTTCCGAATCTCCAGGTTTTTGAAGGATTTCGGCATGCGCGCGCGACGACGCTTGCGTGTGCACTTCGTATCACTTTTGCACAGGGATTCTTGAGAAGACTTTTAATGAACGAGTGTCGGCGCATAGTATTTTTTTGCAAGGAGGATGGCGGGGGGGGATGGCGTCCCCCCTGGGATAGTGTAAATGTAAGTTGCAATACGAAAAAGTGGATGGTTAAGTCTGGGGTGGTGGTGGTGGTAGAACCTGTTTTCTTTTAAAAGCAGAATCTATGTGGTGCAATGCAAAGCAATGCAAAGCGGGCGGCGACGGCGCCCACATGGCCGCCAGAGCAGTCAGCAGGCCCAGGCGGCGGGCGACGACGGGCGGCGACGAGGCGGCGACGGCGGCCTCATGGCGGCCAGAACGGCCCGCAGGTCCAGTTCTTCAGAAGACAAGTATAAACTCCCGAGTGCAAGCGCTGTTAGGGGATCGTGCGATTTTGGCCTCTTGAAGCCCTCGAGATGGAACTCGTGGGCAACATTTTGGGGGTTCCATGTGCCGTCTTGGTGCCGTCTTGACCAGACTCGGAACAATCTTGGACCGTCTTAGCGGTCATCTCGCCGGCCGCGCCGCGCTGCATGACCTTACCGGAACCGACCTGGAGGGCGGGCATCCCGGTCTTGGGGTCCGCGCTGGCTGGAGGGGTTGGCCCGCCCTGTTAGGGGAAGTCCTTCCCCTGGGTCTGGGCAGGGGGGGGCGCGATGTGGCAAACCATCCCCCCCCTCCAAGACTTTGTCCACCCCCTCCAAAACTGGGCATGAGAAAGGGAGGAAGGGAATGGGAATGGGAGGTGATGGAGGCTAAGGGGGAAGCAGAGTAGGAGGAGAAGGAGGAGGAGGAGGAGGAGGAGGAGGAGAGGAGGAGGAGGAGGAGGAGGAGGAGGAGATGGAGGAAGTGGTGGGGGTGGGGGAAAGGGAAGGGACGACGAAGGAGAATTCCCCCCCCTCCCCCCCTCCTCGCCCCCCCCCCCCCCCCCCCCTCCCCCCTCCCCTCCTCCCCCCCTCCCGTCCGCCCCGCTCCCAAGCCTCTCAGGGCCCACGAGGGCTCCAAGATGGCTCCTGCTGGCCCGAGGGGGCCCCCACGGCGCCCGCACGGGTCGCCCGTCGGCTCCGCGAAGGCAGGATCACGAGCAGGGCGAGCGCGAGCGCACGGGGGCAGCTGCCCGCCCCTCGCTGCGCCACGGCGGAGTGCCAGTGCCACCCCTCCTCCTCCTCCTCCTCCTCCTGCTCCTCCTCCTCCTCCTCCTCCTCCTCTTTCTCCTCCTCCTCCTCCTCCTGCTCCTCCTCCTCCTCCTCCTCCTCCTCCTCCTGCTCCTCCTCCTCCTCCTCCTCCTCCTCCTACCCCTCCTCCCGCGGATGGGGCGCTTCCGGGGCTGCCCTGCCAGCACAGGGCAGCTCGCCCGAGAAGCGTAGCTGGATGGGCCGGTGGGGACACGGGACGGGTCCGCGCTCGCGGTCTGACGAGGACGAGGCAGGGCGGTGGCGAGGAGGGCGAGCCGAGATGGCGTGGTGAGGGACAGGAGGTGCCGGGGCGGGGGGGGCGAGACAGGTGAGGCAGGGCGACGGCGAGGAGGACGAGCAGCGATGACACGGTGAGGAACATGAGGTACTGGGACGGGGAAGGCGAGATGGAAGCACGCGGAGGAACACCGACGGGGAGGAGGAGCAGCAGGACTCGGACGGCCAGCATGATTTGACGACGAGTCCTGTTTGCGCCCGCGGCGGAAGATTTAAAAAATCAGAGAACCACTTTGCCTGTCGCGTACTGAACGCGTCAATGCACCAAAAATGCCCCTGCAGAGGAGAAGCTGGAAACGAAACTCGGAAATGCCACGACCAATCATCTACTCAACACGACGAGGAAGCATATCGCCACACACGCACACACAGGCACGCGCACACGACGAGAAGGAAGCGGCCATGGAGGGAAGACGCCATCGACGAGTTGGTCCAACTCCCCGCGAAAAATCACACTGCCTTGGCTGCGACATGTAAGCCACGGCTGCCATCAGAAAACCAACATTTCTTGTACAAGCCCCCCCCATTAAGCAGAATTCCAAGATAGGGGTGTGACTGGCGTCAGGACCAGAAGAGCCTTCTTAAGATCTTTACACCATCAGCAAGCAATGCAGCGCGTCACAACCGCTGCTGGGACTTGGCTGTAATCTGATCGTATCGGCAGCGCGACAGGAGTCTCCTGAGTGCTGGTCAATTCTCTGGTGTGTGTGGGAGGGGCTTGTACCTGCGCTGGGCTGTAAACACTTTGCATCCTCCACGGCTCAGCCGGTGCGCAGAGTCGATCTGTAGTGGGGCTGCGGCCGAGCAGCTGTGCGACTGTATCCAAAAGGGCACGAGAATATATTCATCCGTCGCAACTGAAAATTTATCAATCCATCCACCTGACTGGCCACCTGTTCTTTCTTCCTCCTACCTCCTTCCGCCTCCTCCTCCTCCTCCTCCTCGTCGTCCGCCCCTGCTGCTCCTCGTCCTCCTCATTCTTTCCCGCCCTCCTCCTCCTCCTTTTCCCCCTCCCCCTGGTCAGCCGTGATGGTGCCCATGTCGGTCTGTACGCCATGCCCCAGCCGCGAGCCTCGAAGAAAAACGGATGTCAGATTAAACAGTGTGAGGGTGCAAGTGCCAGCGGGAACCTGCGCCGCTGGAACGGGAGGGGGAAAGGATGAGAAGGATACAGAGAGCGAGAGAGGAGGGAGGCGGGAGGACAGGGAGGGGGGAGGACGGAAGGGGGCAAGAGGTGGCAGGAGGTGAGAGCATGGGCAAGGAGGGAGGGAGGGATGACGGAGGGGAGCCAGGAGTGAGGCAGGGAGAGAGAGAGAGAGAGAGAGACAGAGAGAGTGAGCGAGAACGAGAGATAGAGAGAGAGAGAGAGAGAGGGGAGGAACGGGATGGTGATGATGATGCAATGATGATGGGGAGGGCACGTCGGGAAAGCAGGGAGGGAGGGAGGGGCGGGATGGACGTGGAGGAGGAGGAGGAGGAGGAGGAGGAGGAGGAGAGGAGGAGGAGGAGGAGGAGGACGAGGTAGGATGAAGGAGGGGAAAACGCAGAAGGAGGGGGAGGAGGAGGAGAGGAGGAGGAGGAGGAGGAGGAGGAGGAGGAGGAGAAGGAGGAGGAGGAGGAGGCGGGTTAGGAGGGGGAGGAGGAGGGCGAGGAGGAGGCGGGTTAGGAGGCGGGTTAGGAGGAGGAGGAGGAGGAGGAGGAGGAGAAGGAGGAGGAGGAGGAGGGGGAGGAGGAGGGGGAGGAGGAGGAGGAGGCGTCGCCTGCTCGGAGCCGCGCCTCGCCGCCTTCCCTGACCTGGTCAGCACACGCTGGACGGAAGACGGACGCGGGGCGCGCTCGCTGAATTCGAGCAAGACGACCAAGCGCGCGCAACGGCAGGCGCCTGCCACGTCGAGGCGCTCCCAGTACGGTCGGGTGTTGCTGGAAGTGCCCCTGGCCAAAGGTGCCCCCCCCCAGCTTTTCGCTCCATTTTGGAGGCCCTGGGGTTGCCTGGGCCTCGCTAGGGGTGCTCTGGAGGCCGTGGGGACTTCCTTGGGGATCCGGGTGGCACCTTGAGCCAAGGTCACTTCCAGCAGCACCCGATACGGGGAGGTCGACGGGGGCGAGTCTACCAGGTAGGGCCAGGCAGCAGGAGGAGGAGGAGCAGGAGCAGGAGGAGGGGGAGGGGAGCGAGGAGGGGGGCGATCAGCAGCGGGAGGAGGTGGAGAGGAGGGGAGCGAGGGAAAAGGGGGAGGAGGATTAGGGTGACGCGGGGCGGAGGAAAGAGAGGAGAAGGAATAGGGAGACAAGGAGGGGGAGGAACCATAAGGAACCAGACTCGCCATGCTGCTCGCTCCCCCGAGTGCGGGCTCGTGGACAACCTCCTTAACTTAAGGGCATCTTTCCACCACCGCGGGCGTGTTGCCCTCAGTCATGCCTCACGGGTGACCAAACCACTTTCATTTTAGCAATGCGAAATCTACCATGACGGTGCCGATGGGGTGGCTGCCAGGCTGGATAGGAGGTAATGGCCAGTAGCCCAGCTAACACCTTTCCAAAGGAAGTGGATGATGATGAGGAGGTTGAGGAGTGGAATGCAAGGAGTAGAGACAGGAGGAACGGGGGAATAGGACGGTTGCTGACCTTCCAGGGCGTAGAAGCTGACCCCCTTGCCGAAGATCTGCCTCAGAATGGCTCGGATCACCGTGCCGTAGGTCATCGCGACGACCACCTCCCTGGGCACGGGCTCCGAGAGACTCGTGCGGCCGAGCAGCTGCTCCAGGTGCTCGTCCAGCGCCTGCGGGATGGAGGACGGAGGCTGCGGGACGGAGGAGGATGGATGGATGGAGGAGGAGGAGGAGGAGGAGGAGGAGGAGGAGGAGGAGGAGGAGGAGGAGGAGGAGGAGGAGGAGGAGGAGGAGGAGGAGGAGGAGGAGGAGGAGGAGGGGGAGGAGGAGGAGGAGGAGGAGGGGGAGGAGGGGGAGGAGGAGGAGGAGGAGGGCTGGGGAGGGGAGGGAGGATGAGGGGGATGGGAGGAGGGAGCAGGTGCCTCGGCCACCTCGCTGTAGCTGAGGAGCCGCTCGTAACCGAGAGACATGGTCCTGTCTCGCTCGGTGGGCGCCGCCGCCACATACAAGGCCACCCACTCTGCCAGGGCGACCACGCCCTCCTGCTGGACCGGGAGCCCCCGCAGAGCCTCGCGCGTGGAGGCCTCGTAGCGCGGCAGCTCCTCGCGCAGGTCGGCGCCCGTCACCTCGCCGCGGTCGGCACGCTCGACGATCCCGCCGGGCGTGAGCACGAAGTTCTTGAAGCTCAGCAGCGCCTGTGGCCTGGAGGTGGACCCATGGCCGCGCACCGCGAGCTGGCAAGACATCCCGCCGCCGGACAGCATGCCCGTCACGTGGCCTGGGCTCCCGCGGCGCTCGCCCAGCAGGTGGTTCAGGGCCTCCCACTCGGCTCGCGCCTCCTCGAGGCGGCGCGCCAAGGGGGGAAGCGAGAAGGAGCGGGCCTCCTCAGAAGGCTCGGAAGTCCCCTGGCCTGCCGAGAAGTTCTCTGAGCCTCCCCCGAAGACGCAGCAGGAGCCTCTCTCGGAGGGCGCGAGGGCTTCTCGCGGCCTTCTGCGAGGGCCTTCTCCCTCTCACTTCCCCCCCCGCTCGCCGCCGATATCCTCCTCGCCGTCGAGGACCGTGAACCGCACGCGGTCGCCGAAGAGCTCCTCGAGGCACGCCGCGAAGAACTCCACCTGCCGCCAGCGCAGCAGGCCGGTCTCCAGCCCGTGGCGCACGCCCGCGGTCGCGCCGACGAGCACGCGCCCCTGCGGGATCTTGTCCGCCAGCAGCCGAGCCAGCTCCTGGGGCACACGAACAAATACACACACATCCACATCCCAGGATCCGCCATGCCTTCACCTATTCTGTGGACTTTCGTTTCCCTCCCCCCCCCACTTCCCATGCTTCCCCACGTTTCCCTGGGAATCGACGCTTCGTGGTGCCTAGGTGCCGCTTCCCCTCCGGAAGCAAGGGGGGGCCACGACCGAGACCGAACGCGGAGACACGTCGGTGCCGATCTCGGCCCTCGCCCACCGTGGCCGAGAGGGGCGCCGACGAGAGCCCGCGACGGCTCGGCCAGTGGCCAGGGCCGGCGTGTCTCGGCCGCCAGAGAGCTCCCGCGTGCGCCCCTCGTCCGCCAGGGCCGCGGTCAGCTTCTCGCCGCGCCACTCGGACTTCCGGCGGGAGACGCCGGAGGGCCCCGCGCCCTGGGAGAAGTAGACGGCGCGCGTGCTGCCGCTCCCGCAGTCGACCACGACGCACTCCGACGCCCCGGGCGGCGCAGGGCGCTCCTCGGCGGCGGGGGGCCTCAGGATGGGGATGACGAGGGGCACGCCCGTCCGGATGTCGTCCAGGAAAGGTGCCCTGGGGAGGAGGGGCGAGGCGGGCGAGGGCGAGGACGAGGAGGGCCGAGAGCAGGGGCGGGAGGGGACGAGGAGGAGCCTGCTGGGCACCATGACTGCCTGCGGCGTGAGCTGATCGATGTCGCCCTCCCTGGTGAGCACGGCCGTCTTGCCGCCGCTGCCGAGATAATTCCTCGACGTCCCGCGACGTTGCGCTTTCTTCTGCCATCGCTGCGTCGCCAGCACCCCCACCGCCGCGGCTGCCGCGGCTGCCGACGCGGCCCCTCCAACGGGGCCACCTGGCGCCTCGCCATGGCTCGCGGCTTCGGAAGGGCGCTGGCTAGGGCGGGGGCTCCACTGGAAGGTGCCGCGCCGCTGGGATGCGTCCGCGAGGCCCGGCGGGGGCGGCACGCTTGCCTGGGACGCTGCTGGCGACAGCTGGAGAAGTGCAGAGCTCAGAAGACCCATCGGATCTGGAAGTCACGTTCGCCCTGCCCGAGCTTGCAATCTCGAGGGCAAGGCCGCAGGACGCGCCGCGCGCGCACGCGGGCGCGCGAACGGTCGAGCCAGAGCCAAAATGGCTATGGCTATGGAGGAAGATGAAGGAAAAGTAGATTTAGGCCGGGCGTGTCCTCCTACAGGCGCTTTTTGGAACAAAAATTACAAATAGTCAGACATATTACAACAATTATAAAAAAACATGAAACATAGTTCCCATACGATTGTAAAACAATTTTTTAATATTCCCCCGCCCGACTTAAGACTAGATGCTGAAGTACAAGGACCAGGATCAGGTCCAGAGGATGGCATGGAAGACGAGGAGTCGCGTGCCCGAGGCCCACGGAGTCGTGTGCTGGCTCCCCGGGGGGCGTCGTCGGCGCCCGCCACGGGGACGAACTGTCGCGAGGACGGGCCGAAAGGGGGAAGGACGCAAGAGCACCCCTGGACAACTGCTCGAACTGCCGATCCTGCGCGGCCGAAAAGTAGAAGAAAAACAACTACACCGCCATGAACATGAACTTTTGGCGCTCCGCGCAGATCTCTTGGATCCGCGCTGGACCCCCTCTCCTGGCGGCGCCGGAGCGCGCCACGCCAGAAGAAGCTTTATGTTTACGGCGTGTTTTTCTCCTCTTCGCAAAGAGGAGGAGGGGAAGGAAAGAGTGTTTCCGGCGTGTTTTTTGCCTCTTCGAAAAAAGAGGCACGGGTGCAAGAGCACCCCTGGACCTGCGCGAGTGGACTGCCCCTGCGAGGCCCGAAGGGAGCCCCCTCCTCCTCCTCCTCCTCCCCCTCCCCCTCCTCCTCCCTCCTCCTCCTCCTCCTCCTCCTCCTCTCCCTCCTCCTCCTCCTCCTCCTCCTCCTCCTCCTCCTCCTCCCCTCCCCCTGCTCGCCCTGGCGATCCCGCGCTCCCCGCCGCCACCGGGAGCAGCGTCGGCCCAGGGCCGCGGGCGCTCGAGGAGGGGCGCCCCCCCCCCCCCCTCGGGATCTCCTCCTCTCGGAGGAGGTGGAGGAGGGGGAGAAGGAGGAGGAGGAGGAGGAGGAGGAGGAGGAGGAGGAGGAGAGAGGAGAGGAGGAGGAGGAGGAGGAGGAGGAGGAGGAGGGGAGGAGGAGGAGGGGGAGGAGCAGGAGGAGGAGGGGGAGGAGGCGGAGGACGGGTCGCCTAAACCCTTCGGAAAAACCCTCCAACGAGGGGCTGCAATCCAGGCCCGGGTCAGCAGGAAAGCAAAAACAGCAGTGCAAGAAGAAAAACAGCTGCGACGCAGGTCTTCGCAGCCCCGGGCCAGCCGATACGATCGGCCGCCTCGCGGCCACGAGCGGCTCGCCTGGCCCGGGTCAGCCAGAGGGGGCCTTCGCAGAATCCTGCAGGATCTGGCGCTCTGGCCGACCCCCGTTTGCACCGACCCCCGTATCTTAGGCCCCGACCCCCCTCGAAAACGGCGTGGCCGGCCGTGCAGAGTGGCCCGTGCTCAGATCCCATCCGTGGCGCGCTTGTGCCCTTGCGCTGAAGTCGGGCCTGTCCCTCTGCAGGAGGAATATTCAAGGATAGTCAAGCAAGTGGTCTAGGACGATTTTTCCCAACCATGCTGTGGTGTTGGGTCTTCGTTTTGAAGAGACAGCGCCCCGCGTTCCTCCTCCTCCTCCTCCTCCACCTCCTCCTCCTCCTCCTCCTCCTCCACCCTTACTTCCTCTACCCTCCCTCCCCTCCCCTCCCTCCTCCTGCACCCTTCCTACCCTCCTCCTCCTCCTCCTCCTCCTCCTCCTCCTCCTCCTCCCTCCTCCTCCTCCTCCTCCTCCTCCTCCTCCTCCTCCTCCTCCTCCTCCTCCTCCTCCCCCCGCTGCCCACTCCCTCCCCCTCTCACCATCATCATCGTCATCGTCATCGTCATCATCATCATCACCACCATCACCATCATGGTGGGCACCATCGCCATCATCGGCGTCATCACCATCGCCATTGTCAGCGTCATGCCTCTGTTCTCCGCGTGCCCACCAATTCGGCACACCACTCACACGTTTCGTGGCCCCATAGGGAGCTCCATCATTCCCCCAATGGGAAAGTTCGCATGGCGGCCTCGCCCCATTTCGGCACACTCCTCACAGGCTTCGTGGCCCCATAGGGAGCTCCACCTAAGCCTCAGAGGGAAAGTTCGCATGGCGGCCCCGCCCCATTTCGGCAAAGCCCTCACACGTTTCGTGGCCCCATAGGGAGCTCCATTTAAGGCCCCAGTGGGAGAATTCGCATGGCGGCCCCGCCTCATTTCGGCACACCCCTCACACGTGTCGTGGCCCCATGGGGAGCTCCACCTAAGGCCCCCCAATGGGAAAATTCGCATGACGGCCCCGCTCCATTTCGACACAGCTCTCACACGTTTCGTGGCCCCATAGGGAGCTCCATTTAAGGCCCCAGTGGCAAAGTTCGCATGGCGGCCCCGCCTCATTTCGGCACAACCCTCACACGTTTTGTGGCCTCATAATGAGCTCCACCTCAAGCCCCAATGGGAAAATTTGCATGACGGCCCCGCTCCATTTCGGCGCACCCCTCACACGGCTCGTGGCCCCATAGGGAGCTCCACCTAAGGCCCCAGAGGGAAAGTTCGCATGGCGGCCCCGCCCCATTTCGGCGCACCACTCACAGGGCTCGTGGCCCCATAGGGAGCTCCACCTAAGGCCCCAGTGGCGGAACTCGCATAGCGGACCCGCCCCATTTCGGCACACCCCTCACACGTTTCGTGGCCCCATAAAGAGCTCGAGCTAATGTCCCAAATGGCCCCACAGGGAGCTCCACCGAAGGCGCCAGTGGCAGGGTTCGCATGGCGGCCCCGCCCCATTTCGGCGCATCCCTCACACGGCTCGTGGCCCCGTGGGAAGCTCCACCGAAGGCCCCAGTGCCAAAGTTCGCATGGCGGCCCCGCCCCATTTCGGCACACCCCTCACGCGATTCGTGGCCCCATAGGGAGCTCCACCTAAGGCCCCAGTCGCAGGGTTCTCTCATGGCGGCCCCGCCCCATTTCGGCGCACCCCTCACGAGGATCGTTGCCCCATAGGGAGCTCCACCGAAGGCGCCAGGTGGCAGGGTTCGCATGGCGGCCCCGCCCCATGTCGGCGCACCCCTCACGAGGATCATGGCCCCATAGGGAGCTCCACCGAGGGCGCCAGTGCCAGGATTCGCATGGCGGCCCCGCCCTGTTTCGGCGCACCCCTCACAAGGACCGTGGCCACACTGGAACTCCACCGAGGTTTGCCAGTGGCAGGGTTCGCATGGCGGCCCCGCCTCATTTCGGTGCACCCCTCACACGGCTCGTGGCCTCATAGGGTTTCCAAAGAAGGCCCCAGTGGCAAAGTTCGCATGGCGGCCCCGCCCCATTTCGGCACACCCCTCACACGGTTCTTGGCCTCATAGGGAGCTCCACCGAAGGCGCCAGTGGTAGGGTTCTCATGGCGGCCCCGCCCCATGTCGGCGCACCCTCACGAGGATCGGAGTAATCAATTTCTGTCAGAGCTCTGGGGCCCGAAGGCGGACCCAGGGGGCCGAGATCGAGGTCCAGAGGCGAGCCCACACAGCGTCTGAGCGAGCCCAGACCTAGCCGGAAACTCCCTCCAACCACCCTCTGCTTCCCGACCCCGTCCCTATTGCCTTGTCCTTCCCTCGTCCTCCTGCGCTCTCCCGCCCCATTCTTTCTCCTGCTTCCTCCCACCTCTTCCCCCCCGTGCTCATGTTCTTGGGGGGCGCACTGCCACTGGGGATGACGGGACAGTTCTGGTCAGGTTCAGGGGGGTCAGGATGAGGAGGATTATGATGAGGGGGGTCAGCATGAGGGGGGGGAGGGACGCGGAGGAGGAGGAGGAGGAGGAGGAGGAGGAGGAGGAGGAGGAGGAGAAGGAGGGGGAGGAGGAGGCGGAAGAGGATGAGGTCAGGATGAGGAGGGGGGGGACGAAGATCGGGGCGTGCGCAGGCCGCGACCCCGCCCCCGGAGGCCACCTCCTTTCTGTGTCGGGGGCCCTCTCGGAAGCCTCCCGAAGCCTCCGGGGCCGCGTGCCCGCACATGGGTGGCCAGGCAAGCGGGAGAGAGAGAATCTCCTCCGAATCCCTGTCGTTGGTTTCCTCAATCTTATCCCGAGGCTTTGCCCCCTCCTGGCCTTGCCGTGGGGTCTCCCCTTCTGTCCCCCCCTCTTTGTGAATTCGAGCTTCGCGCGGCCCGCTTCGCTTCGACCGGAAGAGGTGCGCTCTCGACCCGCGAATGAAAGATTGTGTCCTCAACCTTTTCTTTGGGCGCGGTAGCATTGTCTGCCTACTGAGTCCACTTCGCACTGAAGCCATCCACTGCTGTGAATCCGAATCACCGCGGCGGTTGCCTGGCCCCACCCGCTGCCTAAGGTTGTTTAGCGACGGATGTCATCAGGGCCGCTTTTGTGAACGGACCCATATCGACATGGATATTGATGCTCGTCCTCGTCGTCGTCGTCGTCGTCGTCGTCCGGAGCTTCATCAGGCGTAGCCGTGCGTGCCGTGCTCGCATTTATGCAAATATCTTCATTCGCACGCAGACTCATTCACACTCAGACTCATTCGCGCTCAGAGTCACCAGCAATCAGTCTCCAGCAATTCGACTTATCGTCTTCGTTCTTGTTGTGTACACCGCCACACAATTCGGCACACCCCTCATACAGTTCGTGGCCCCTTAGGAATCGCCACCGAAGAAGATATTCACAATTGCGGTACTCAGAAGAGTTACACGTTTGGTATCGAAATGCCCGAAAAGTGTTACAAGGACAGAACTACCGCAATTATTGTTGCTGGGCTGTTCTGTGCTACTTTGTCCTTCAGAAGTAGTTACACGCTTAGTTTCGCATTGCTTTGAGGGTGTTATAGAAAAAGGACAACTATCGCATTTTTTCCCAACCATCCTGTGGTGTTGGGTCCTCGTTTTGAAGAGACAGCGCCCCGCGTCTCACCTCCCGCTGCCCTCCTCTCTTCTCCCATCATCGTCATCATCATCATCATCATCATCATCATCATCATCATCATCATCATCATCATCATCATCATCATCATCATCATCATCATCATCATCATCATCATCGTCATCATCACCACTAGCATCATCATCGTCATCATCATCGCCATGGCCATTAGTTTCCAACCATCCTGTGGTGTTCGCATGGCGGCCCCGCCCCATTCTGGCGCACCCCTCACACGGTTCGTGGCCCCATAGGGAGCTCCACCGAAGGCCCCAGTGGCTGCGTTCGCATGGCGGCCCCGCCCCATTCTGGCGCACCCCTCACACGGTTCGTGGCCCCATAGGGAGCTCCACCGAAGGCCCCAGTGGCTGCGTTCGCATGGCGGCCCCGCCCCATTCTGGCGCACCCCTCACACGGTTCGTGGCCCCATAGGGAGCTCCACCGAAGGCCCCAGTGGCTGCGTTCGCATGGCGGCCCCGCCCCATTCTGGCGCACCCCTCGCACGGTTCGTGGCCTCCACCCCCAGATGCGGCCCCGTGGCCCCATAGGGAGCTCCACCGAAGGCCCCAGTGGCTGCGTTCGCATGGCGGCCCCGCCCCATTCTGGCGCACCCCTCACACGGTTCGTGGCCCCATAGGGAGCTCCACCGAAGGCCCCAGTGGCTGCGTTCGCATGGCGGCCCCGCCCCATTCTGGCGCACCCCTCACGAGGTTCGTGGCCCCATAGGGAGCTCCACCGAAGGCCCCAGTGGCTGCGTTCGCATGGCGGCCCCGCCCCATTCTGGCATTTGGCGCACCCCTCACACGGTTCGTGGCCCCATAGGGAGCTCCACCGAAGGCCCCAGTGGCTGCGTTCGCATGGCGGCCCCGCCCCATTCTCCGCACCCACCGAAGGCCCAGTGGCATGGCATTCTGGCGCACCCCTCACACGGTTCGCGGCCCCATAGGGAGTTCAACCGAGGGCCCCAGTGGCAGGCTTCGCATGGCGGCCCCGCCCCAATCTGGCGCACCCCGCACGAGGATCGCGGCCCCATAGGGAGCTCCACCGAAGGCCCCAGTGGCAGGGTTCGCATGGCGACCCCGCCCCATGTCGGCGCACCCCTCACGAGGATCGTGGCCCTGTGGGGAGCTCCACCGAGGGCGCCAGTGGCAGGGTTCGCCTGGCGGCCCCGCCCCATTCTGGCGCACCCCTCACACGGTTCGTGGCCCCATAGGAAGCTCCACCGAAGACGCCAGTGGCAGGGTTCGCTTGGCGGCCCCGCCCCTTTTCGGCACACCCCTCACACGGTTCGTGACCTCATAGGGAGCTTCACCGAAGGCGCCAGTGGCAGGGTTGGCGTGACGGCCCCGCCCCATGTCGGCACACCCCTCACGAGGATCGGAGTAATCATTTTTTCCCAACCATCTTGTGGTGTTGGGTCTTCGTTTTGAAGAGACAGCGCCCCGCGTCTCACCTCCTCCTCCTCCTCCCGCTGCCCTCCTCCCTCCTCCTCCTTCTCCTCCTCCCTCCTCCCTGCGTTTCGCCCACCCAGTACAGCGTTTCGTGGCCCCATAGGGAGCTCCACCGAAGGCCCCAGTGGCAGGGTTCGCATGGCGGCCCCGCCCCATTTTGGCGCACCCCTCACACGGTTCGTGGCCCCATAGGGAGCCCCACCGAACGCCCCAGTGGCAGGGTTCACCGAAGGCCCCAGTGGCAGGGTTCGCATGGCGGCCCCGCCCCATTTTGGCGCACCCCTCAAACGGTTCGTGGCCCCATAGGGAGCTCCACCGAACGCCCCAGTGGCAGGGTTCGCATGGCGGCCCCGCCCCATTTTGGCGCACCCCTCACACGGTTCGTGGCCCCATAGGGAGCTCCACCGAAGGCCCCAGTCGCAGGGTTCGCATGGCGGCCCCGCCCCATTTTGGCGCACCCCTCACACGTTTCGTGGCCCCATAGGGAGCTCCACCGAAGGCCCCGGTGTCAGGGTTCGCATGGCGGCCCCGCCCCATTTTGGCGCACCCCTCACACGTTTCGTGGCCCCATAGGGAGCTCCACCGAAGGCCCCAGTGGCAGGGTTCGCATGGCGGCCCCGCCCCATTTTGGCGCACCCCTCACACGGTTCGTGGCCCCATAGGGAGCTCCACCGAAGGCCCCAGTGGCAGGGTTCGCATGGCGGCCCCGCCCCATTTTGGCGCACCCCTCACACGGTTCGTGGCCCCATTGGGAATTCCCTTTGCTTCGTCCCACCTGCCCTGCGGTTCTCACACTTGCGTATGGTTGGGTCCTTCGCCAGGATAATTTGCTAAGCTGCTTAATATCGCATTTTTATTTGAAAAACATAAAAACAATGGTGATCTTAGGACAGAACAGTCGCTATTTTTTCCAAACGATCCTGTGGTGTTGGGTCCTCGCTTTGAAGAGACGGTGCCCCGCGTTCCTCCTCCTCCTCCTCCTCCTCCTCCTCCTCCTCCTCCTCCTCCTCCTCCCCCTTCTCGGCTCCCTCCGCATGTCTCTCTGTCGGCACACACCTCACACGTTTCGTGGCCCCATAGGGAGCTCCAACTACGGTCCCAGTGGCGGAACTCGCATGCGGTCCCCGCACCCGTTTCGGCGCACCCTTCAGACGTTTCGTGGCCCCATACGGAACTCCACCTAAGGTCCCAGTGGCGGAACTCGCATGCGGTACACGCACCCATTTTGGCATACCCCTCACACGCTTCGTGGCCTCATAGGAAACTCCACCTAAGGTCCCCGTGGCGGAATTCGCATGCGGTCCCCGCACCCATCGTGGCACACCCCTCAGACGTTTCGTGGCCCCATAGAGAGCTCCACCTAAGGTCTCAGTGGCGGAACACGCCTGCGGTCCCCGCGCCCATTTCGGCACGCCTTTCACACGTTTCGTGGCCCCATAAGGAGCTCCAACTACGGTCCCCGTGGCGGAACTCGCATGCGGTCCCCGCGCCCATTTTGGCACATCCTTCACACATTTCGTGGCCCCATATGGAGCTCCACCTAAGGCCCCCGTGGCGGAATTCGCATGGCGGCCCCGGGTCATTTCGGCACACCCCTCACACGTTTCGTGGCCCCATAGGGAGCTCCACCTAAGGTCCCACTGGCGGAACTCGCATGGCGGCCTCGGGTCATTTCGGCACGCCCCTCACACGTTTCGTGGCCCCGTAGGGAGCTCCGCCAAAGGTCCCAGTGGCGGAACTCGCATGGCGGCCTCGGGCCATTCCAGCACACCCCTCGCGAGGATCGCGGTCCCATAGAGAGCTCCACCGAAGGCCCCAGTGGCAAGGTTCGCGTGGCATCCTCGGGTGATTGCAGCGCACCCCTCACGAGGATCGTGGCCGAGCTCCACTGACGCCGCCAGTGGCAGGGTTCGCGTGGCGGCCTCGGGCCATTTCGGCACACCCCTCACGAGGATCGTGGCCCCACAGGGAGCTCCACCGCAGGCGCCACTGGCAAGGTTCGCATGGCGGCCTCGGGCCATTACGGCGCACCCCTGACGAAGATCGTGGTCCCATAGGAGTTCCACCGAAGGCGCCAGTGGCAGGGTTCGCATGGCGGCCTCGGGCAATTTCGGCACACCCCATCACGAGGATCGTGGCCCAGCTCCGCCGAAGGCCCCAGTGGCAAAGTTCGCATAGCGGCCTCGGGCCATGTCGGCACACCCGTCACGAGGATTGTGGCTCCATAGGAGCTCCACCGAAGGCGCCAGTGGCAGCTTCCCTCATGGCTCTCAGAGCCCTCTCCTGCTTCTGCTCCTCGGTCAGGGGGGCGCCGTCCTCCTCGTCGTCGGCGCCCGCGAAGGCGGCCGCGAACGTGTCCGTGAGCATGTCGGGCTCCGGCGGGAAGCCGTGGCCACATAGGGAGCGTGGGCGAAGATGGTATTCACAATTGTGGTATTCACAACTGCGTATGGTTGGGTCTTCCGCCAGGTTAATTGCTAGGCTGCTCTGTGATAATTTGTCCTTCAGGCGTTGTTCCACGTTAAGTATCGCAGTTATGCGGATATACTCGCACGCAGACTGACTCACACTCAGACTCACTCGCGCTCAATCTCTCGTCTTTAGATCAATCGCCTTTGTTCGCGTTGTGTACCCCGCCACACATTCCGGCACATCCCTCATATGGTTCGTGGGCCCATTGGGAGCGCCATCAAACAACATATTCACATCTGCGATATTCTCAACTGCATATGGTTGGGTCCTTCGCCAGGCTTTCTTTTGTTTGTGATTATTGTTGAATATTCCCAACCATCCTGTGGTGTTGGGTCCTCGTTTTGAAGAGACAACGCCCCGCGTCTCCCTCCTCGTCCTCCCGCTGCCCACTCCCTCCCCCTCTCACCATCATCCTCGTCATCGTCATCATCACCACCATCACCATCATCGTAGGCACCATCGCCATCATCGGCGTCATCAACATCGCCATCGTCAGCGTCATGCCTCTGTTCCCCGCGTGCCCACCAATTCGGCGCACCCCTCAAACGTTTCGTGGCCCGTTAGGGGGCCCCAGTGGCAAAGTTCATGAACGCACCCTTTTTCGTCGCCCAATATGATGCTGCCAGCTCTTGAAGCGAATGCGCTTTTGCAGCGAATGCGTGCGGCACTGAGTCGATAGTCATATCATCCTTCCAGTGCGGGGATAACGCTTCCGGTGCGGGGGAAATGTTATCCTTTTGCCGGACGGGGGGGGTTCTTAAATGCCGGCTGAGGTTAAAAGAGGAGCGGGAGGGGCTGCGACAGGAGGGCACCTGGACGCCGGTTGCGATCTTCATGGGGTTGATCGCCTTGGCCACGGGCGCGGGCAGGGGAGCGGTCGCGAGGAGGGTGGGCATCCTCCTCCCCCTCCTGCTGCGAGAACGCTGGCGCAACACGGCTTCCAATCGCCCGCGCCGGGCGGGCGCGCATGCGCGGCTCAAGCCGCTTTTGGGCGAAGATGGGGGGGATGATGCGGGGAGGCACCTGATGCTCATGGGAAGGAGGTTTGGAGAAAGGGAAGATGGGCAGAGCGGCCGGGCCGGGCAGCTCTGCCCCTCCTGCCCCCCCTCCCCCTCCTCCTCCTCCTCCTCCTCCTCCTCCTCCTCCTCCTCCTCCTCCTCCTCCTCCTCCCCCCTCCTCCTCCTCCTCCTCCTCCTCTTCCTCCTCCTCTGTTCTTTGCCAAGCCCTGGGGGCGGTCCAGTCCCCCCCCCGGCGTCCGACTTTTTCGCACGTTCGGCGGACTGTAGACTCTAGCTGTGGGCTGTAGCGTTCTGGCGGCAAGAAAAAACAGTAAAATCGCCTTAGTGCAGACCAAGCGATGCATGAGGCGGGCCAGAGGCGTGCTAAGATCTCCAGTAACTGGTTAACAATATTTCTGCTTCGCGCGCGCGGGGCGGCCCCTGGGGGTCCCCCGGCGAAAAATATCCCGACCGCAGCCCGACCAAGTCTACCCAGAGATGGTTTTGAGGGCCCTTTTCGACACCCCTCACGAGGATCGTGGCCTCCGAGGGGGTACACTCGACTACTCCGCGCCCATCAGGCCCCCCAAGAGGCCCAAGGGGGCCCCAAGACGCCGCCAAGGAGCCCCAAGAGACCCACAAGAGGCCCCCAAGATGCCCCTAGGAGGCCCCAAAGAGGCCCCCAAGAGGCTTCAAAGAGGCCCCATAGAGCGCTCGAGGGCCGGCGGAATGAGCGAAGCGCTTAAATAAAACCGCCTTAGTGCAGACCAAGCGATGCATGATGTGGAAAAAGAAATGGAAAAGTGAGAGCCCGCGAGGGCAGTGAGTAGTAGAACTGCAGGCGTCGGCAAGGTAGCCCCCATCCGTCCCATCCCGTCCCATCATCTGCTGCCAATCGTACCCAACCCCATTCCAGCTTCAAGGCCCTCAACGAGGGTCAGTGCTGTGCTCTTGTGCGGCGTCAGTCCTCCTCTTCCTCCTCCTCCTCCTCCTCCTCCTCCTCCGCTTGTCCTCCTCGCTCTCCTCGTCGTCGCCCTCTCTTCCCCCTTCTCCCTTCGTCCCCCGTTCCCTTCCCGCTCTCCCCTCTCCCGAGCCCGCGGGTGGAGGGGCCTTGGCGGCGATCGAACTCGAGGCGGAACTGTTCGAGGAGAGCCTTCGGACGCCGTCCACCAACATGGCCAGGCCGGCGACGCTCAGGACGACGCTCCTTGGAAACAGGGTGGAGGGGGAGGAACATGTTAGCCAGCGTGGACCTCAAACGGTGTGCTTCTAGCAAATGGTAGTGTGCAACACATGTGGTGCGACGTATGTGTTGCATTCTATGTTGTGCCATCGATGTGGTGCAATAGACGTGGTGTAATCTATGTGGTGCATTATACGTTGTGCAATCTTTGTGGGGCACTCTATGTGGTGCTGTAGATGTGGTGCGATACATGTGGTGCCATCGATGTGGTCCAATCTATGTGATGCAATCTACGCGGTGCAATCTATGCTATGCAATTCACCAGTGCTCGCAATGATTGTAAACTTCACTGCTCTCATAATCATCCCGCCCACCCATCCGCAACTTGTTTTGGAAAACCCATGCGGCGGCGATTGCGATGAGTGCTTGGCGTTGGTTGGTGCATCTCGGCGTCCGCGCTAGCCCGCGCATGCTCGCGCGCGCAGCGGCCAGCTGGTGCGGCGCGGCAGACGCGGCCGCGGTGGCACTGACCACTGGGCACTTCCCAACGGGCACTTCATTGCGAGTCGGTGGCTTGGGCGGGCGCGGTATCATGGCGACGCGGGCAACAGCAGACGCAATGATGAGAATAACGATGATGGTGACGATGGTGGCGATGACGACGGCAAGGCCAATGTCGGCGTCGGTGTTGGTCGCGCCCGCCGATAACGATGACGATGTCCTCGCGTCGGTGATGGAGGTTTTGGAAGGAGTTCAGCATGCGCGCGCGGCTGACGCGCGCGAGTGGCTCGCGTGGTATTGTTTAACACGGATCGTGCCCCCCAGCACGCGCGCAAGGACGTTCGGATGAGTTCGACGTTCTGCGCGCGAGGCCCGCTTGCCACAATTTGATGACAATGTTTTCCTCAAGAATTCGCGAGAACGCGCGCGCAGGCTTTTCTGAACACTGATATTGCAAACAAATGTGCATTCCTATGTTTTCGGGAAGCTCGCTTTTGAAATCGTTACGCAACCCAAGGCATTCGAAAGATTCCAGCATGCGCGCGCGACGACGCGCGCGTGTGCACTTCGTCCCGTTTTTTGCAAAGGATTCTTGCGAGACAGCCCGCACGCAAGGGCGTTCGAACGATTTCGATATGCGCGCGCGAGAAGAACGTTAGATTGCATGCTATGATGATGTGGACAAACCCATGGCGTTCTTGAAAACATCTACAAGAGCGCGAACGCAAACTTTTTTGTTGTTTGAAAGTCCGTGTTGCGAAACCATATTTTTAATACTGTTTCCGTGACGCTCGATTTTGAATTCCTTGCGAAACCCAAACAGTTTTTCGAAGGATTTCGGCATGCGCGCGCGACGACGCGCGCGTGCACTTCGTCCCAGTTTTTGCAAGGGATTGTTGGAAACTTATGGTTTTTGATAAACGAGTGTGCGTGCATAGTATCTTTTGCAGAGGATGGCGGGGGGGGGGGCGATACCGGCCTAGCTGGGATAGAATGAATTGACAATTCAGATTGACGGTAGGGCAGAATCACATGTAAATTGCAATACGAAAAGGTGAATGTTTAACCCAGAGGGGGGAGGGTAATAGAATCTATCTCCTGTTAAGAAGCGAGAATCTAAGTTGCGCAATCTATGTTGGGCAACCCATGTTGAGTGATCAATGTCGCCGCGCCTTTTGTTCTCGACGCGCCCAAGTAGACGAAGCCGGCACCGCGGCACTCCCACGGCAAACCCTGCGTCCGAGGCGGAGTTTGCGCTGGTGGCCGATGCACCGTCTCCAAGACGTAAGGCCGCGCGTCGGAACAGATGGCACGGCTGCATATGTGGTGCAATCTATGTGGTACAATATATGTTTTGCTATGTTTTGTAAACTGTGTGATGCAATGTAGATGGTGCAATCTTTGCTGTGCAACCTATGTTGTGCAACATATGTGGTGCAGACTATGTTGTGCAGTCTATGCTGTGCCGTTGACTTGTGGCAATGTTGACCGCAACTTATGCGGTGCATTTTATGTGGTGCAATCTATTTGGAGCAATCCATCTTGTGCAATCTATGCTGTGCAATCTACGTGGCGGCGAGCGGCGATGGTGGCGACGGGGCGGCGACGGCGGCATCATAGTCGCCAGAGAGGCAGACAGGCCCAGACGACGGGCGGCGACGAGACGGCGACTGGGCGGCGACGGCGGCAACATAGCCGCCAGAGCGGCACACCGGCCCAGACGACGGGCGGAGACGAGGCGGCGACGGCGGCCATATAGCTGCTCGAACGGCACACTGGCCCAGACGACTGGTGGCGACGAGGCGGCGACGGGGCGGCGACGGTGGCAACATAGCCGCCAGAATGGCACACCAGCCCAGTTCCTCATAACAGAAGTAGGAGCCCGTAAATGCAAGAACTGCTCGGGGAAAGAGGGAGGGAAGGAGGAACCTTCTACTCATTGCAGACGTAGACGTTGCTTCACTACGGGGGACTTCGAGCCTCGAGGGTGCTTGACCGCTAGCGTCGCCCGCCCCACACCATGTAGGGGCGAGCGGGCTTGTGCTTGAGGCCGGCTGCGCGTCACACTTGGCCAGTCCAGCGTTTTGGCAAGCAGTCCCTGCTCCGCACAGCTGCCGGCCGCACCCCTGCCAACGCTTCGTTCAGCATGTGTACAATTGATGCGTTTTACGCAGCTGCTTTGCCTGAGTAGTGTGGGACCGTCACACGGGCGGCTCCCCTGGCATCGCGCAACTGGTTTGACACTGTGTACTGCTGTTGGGTGACCCTCCCCTCGTTGCGAAGAGGTGTGTCGGAACTTTCCCCGTGCCGGAAGAAAATCTTGGCTGCGCGCCAAAAGATGGGGAGGTGGCGAGAAGGGCCGCCTTCCAGAAAAAAGGTAGATGGCTTCTCAGAAAAGCCTGGATGCGTCCGAGAAGGCGTTCTCAGAAGGCGGGGGGACTCCTGCTCTAAGGCTGCTGCTGCTCGCGGCTCACTCTCTGTTCGCGCCGTCACATTTCCTTCTGGCTCCATGCGGGCTAACAGGAGTAGGATATGCCTCAAATGGGCCTGAACAAAAACCTAGAATTTCCTTCTGGCGGCACTCGTGCCGACCGGAATGGCACACGCACAAACAGACACACCCACACAGGTACACACAGACACGAACAAACACTTTTTTGGTCGGCGGGTCGGGAGCGGGCCCCTTCCGGTTAAGAGCTAGGCGGGGCGCGCGAAACCCTAATTGGGGAGACAGGGCGCGGGCGGGCGGGGCCTCAGGCGGCCGGGGGGTGCAGAGTACAGGCGGTGCCGAAGATCTTGCGCAGGACAAGGTACGCCATGAACAGGAGCCGGGGGCGAAGTCCCGGGGGGAGAGTGAATTGGTGTTGCCGTCATCGGCGCGCCAAGAACACCATCCTCGAGTGCTGCATGGGGAGGGCCGTGAGCATGTTAACGTCCGTGAGGTAGAGGAAGACCAGGTAGGCGAAATGCACCAGGTGCCACCGACTGGTAAGGAGAGGCCCAGGAGATGAGGAAGACCACGAAGTCGATGTGCAACGTTGTGCCACCGGGTGGTCGGTAGCGGCCTGGGGTGGTAGTCCAATCCGCGTCCAGGTAGCAGCCACGAGGTTCGGCATGAAAGCCGACTGTGTCCGCCTGCCGTGGGCCGGGCCTTAGCCGCGTTGCCCAGGGTTAGCGGGGCCGCCGAAGCGGCGAGGTGCAGTGCCAGCACCGGGCCGGGGCCGCGCTGTGCCGGGCGCTGCCGCCATGGGAGGGGGGGACAGCGAGCGGGGAGGGAAAAAGCGGACAGGGAGGAGAGAGGCCAGCGTCCCACGCCAGCCAGAGCCCCGCCAGCGTGCACCGAGGTGCCCGCGTGGGGACACGCCCCAATGCGCACAGGTAACCCCAGCGCTGGCGTGTCACGCACGTCGCTGTCGTACCAATGCGTCGCAGGTAAGAACAAGGGGGACACAGAGTCCCAGATCCTTGAATCAAGTCCAGCCGATGGGTACAGGGGGGACACAGAGTCCCAGATCCTCGAATCGCGCTCAGCCGATGGGTACAGGTAGGACACAGAGTCCCAGATCGTTTGGAAACAGCCGATGGGCACAGGGGGGGACACAGAGTCCCAGGTCAGGGAATCTCAATCAGCCGATGCATACAGGTAGGACGCAAAGTCCCAGATCCGTGGGAACGGGAGAGGAGGAGGAGAGGAGGAGGAGGAGGAGGAGGAGAAGACGGGGCCCAGGTAAACAGGTGAATGCCAGCGCATGGGCAGCGGGCGCCACAAGGGCGATGGGGTAGCAGGTAACGGGGGGCAAGAGGGACACGTGGTCCCCAGTTGGCTGAGAGGTGGGGGTGTGGTTCGGGGGCGGGGACGCAGGTATTGGGTGGCTGGCGGGCTGGGCCGTGGTGCTGCAGGCCGGGTGTGGTAGGGCCGACAACAGTCAGCGCCGTGGGCGCTTCCCAGTCCAGGTGTCGTGGTACCCGGAACTGCGGGCCTGGTCCCCGTCGCGCCCGTCACCCTTAGCGACCTCCCTTTTCCTCTGCACCTCCTGATTGAGCTTCTGCTCCCGCTCCCAGTCCACGTAGACACCTGCGCTGCTGGACCATCGGTCCACGTGGTAGTTGTTGGCCTTCATGTCGTCCAGGAATTTGTCGATGATCCACTGCTGCCAGCGGCGTGGGTCGAAGGGCGCCTGGTCTTTGGATTTGCCTTTGCCCTGTTCCTTGTAGTTGTGCCTGCACCACGATTGCCAGGCTACGTCAAATTGGTACCCCCCTTCCGTCTGCAACCTCTTCAGGGGTGTTACTGCTGTCTCGTTTGGGAGGCGCTGCCATCCAGCGCGGAACGCGGCGTGTGTCCGGCTTGTGTCGGCGTGGCTGTGGTCGTCCTTGTAGTGAGAGCTGCGCGAATCTGGCTGGCGCCAGGGTGCGCCAGACACAAACAGACACACACAGACACACATGTCCAGACACAGACGCACACACAGACACACACACAGACGCAGACACAGACACAGACACACACAGAAACACACACACAAACACACACAGACACACACAGACACACACACACACACGCACACGGACACACTCACAGACACACACAGACACACACAGACACACTCACAGACACACAAACACATACACCGACACAGACACATATACACAGACACTCACATGCACACACGCACACAGACCACACATCGCACACACACAGACACAGGCACAGGCACACACACACACACACGCTCACTCACACACATACACTCACACGCTCACACCATTACTCACACCTACTCTAAGGCTGACCCCCTGGCAGCATCTGGACAGCCTTGCTCTTCCTGGCTCCAACCCTGGGCCTGGCCTCAGCATGGACAGGAACGAGGAGGACGATGAGGAGGCGACGGAGAAGGAGGAGCAGGAGGAGCAGGAGGAGGAGGGGGAATCAGGACTGGGAGTGCGGTTGACCCCGACAGCGCGTCGAAGAAAACCGCAGGAACAGGAAGACCATGCGGAAGAATATGAGCACATGCCGATGCTTGCTGCCATTGCGGCACGCGCAGGCAGGCGCGCAAGGGAGGGCCCGCTAAGGCCCAGCAGCATGAGGAGGATTGGGAAGATGGAAAGATCGAGTTTTTTTTGAAGTATTTTTTTGTTCCCCCCCGCACACATCCAACGTGGGGTTCTTGTTTTATCTGTACCCTTCCGCAGGAACACACACAGACACACACACACACCCACACGCACACACCTCCTCCTCATCATCATCATGTCATGATCCCGTCATGACCATCGGCCATTACTATCATCACCATGATCAAGACCATCGCACAACACAATAGTCATCACTACCACCATCCCAGCATGATCATCGGCCAAGCGGGAGCCTTGTCTGTGAGTGCATTGCGGGGATCTCTCACATGGAAGCCCCCTCTTTACGTGGCTCGCAACTCATGTTACTTCTCCGAGAGGGTCATCGGAATCCTGTAACTGTTGTTACTTATGGCCTCTTCAAGCTTGAGTATGGAGGAAGTCTCAAGCGGGAGCTTCGTCCGTAAGTTAATTGCGAGGAAGTCTTCCCTGATGGGGCCCGCAATCCATTTTTGGATCTGAGCGGGTCATCGGAATCATCCACCAGGCATAACACTTGAGCACCCCAAGGGGGCAAATCGTCAGGATGTCTGGAGCGGGGGCGTCGTTTCTGAGTGAATCGCGGGGAAGTCTCAGGCGGGGAGCCCCCTCCCTATGGGGCCTCCGCTTCATGTTTGAATCCGAGCGGAATCGTCTACCAGGCATAGCCTATAAGCACTCCAAAAGGGGCAAATCGTGAGGATGTCTCAGACGGGGGCCTCGTTTTGTGAGTGAATTGCGAGGAATCTCAAGCAGAAACCCCCTCCCTATGGGGCCCGCACTTACTGTTTGCAATCCGAGCTTGTCATCGGAAACATCTACCGGCCATCGGAGAACGCGCCGAGGAAAATCGACTTGCGTGTCGCGGCCAGAAGGAAGGAGAGGTGCATGATAAGAACAGGCGGGATGGAGATGATGAGAGGGAGAAAGAGGACGAGGTGGAGGAGGAGGAGGAGGAGGAGGAGGAGCGGTAGGAGGAGGAGGAGGGAGGAAAAGACGAAGAGGAGGAGAAGACATGGAACGACGAGAACGGGAATACGGGGACGAAGGACGAGGAGGAGGAGACCAGCGTAGGAGGGAAGACGAGGAGGAGGAGGAGGCGCAACAGTCTCTGACACATGTTTACAAGACGCACTCGAGCGTACCAATGTCATACGCTCACAGCTCACGGCCAGGCAGTGCGGGCCTAGCAGCGTGACAAGGCCTTTCCGCAGTGTCCACTCAAGCCTCTTAGTTCACACAATGCACTTCAAGCCCCCTTTACAAGTTGTGGCCCCGCAGTTTAGACTGACAATGCCCTTTACACTCTTTCAGTCGGCTTGCTGTCCTGTCTCCGGGTTTGGATTGGCTACGGGTATGGGTTTGCATTGGGAGAGGGAGAACCAGCATGCCACACTCACAGCCGCCTCTACTTGCCAGCCCCCTCCTAGCAACCTCACACCTTTTTGACTTTCAGTCGCCTACGTTCTTTCTTTCAGGCCCCCCTGGACAAAAGGTGTGGCCCCATTACACAGGTAGCATCAGCCTTCAGCCACGACATCCGTCTTATTGCTACTCTCGCCCATGCGGCTAACTACTTGCCACAGCTCGCATACAGGCCAGTCCACTGTGCGCCAGCATTTACAGTTACCAGTCAGCTGATGCTAAGGATTCGTGATTGACCCGAAAAAGTTAGCAAAAAACACGGGGGTCCTGGGACAATGGAGGTTTGGGGTGAACCGAAAAATCCTGGGCGGCAACCTAAGAAATGCCACCTAGCATGCATTCCTTTTAGCAGCTTTAAGCCGCCTTGATCGGATACACGAGCGCAGCAGATTCCAGCAAGTTGCAGCCATCGCACAGGCCAGCTTTTTAATATGCCGACCTGATGATTACTTCCTCACTCCAGCTCAGTCTTCGACATCTACTTTGCTTCCGGCGTCGCCCGTTCTGTTAGCTTTTGCATGTACCGTGCGATCCTGACTAGAGAGAAGGACGGATTATGGGTTTCTGTGAGGGGCGGGCGGGGCCGCTACGGGGAGGGAAGCAAAGCGCGGGCCAGAGTGCAACGCCCACTGCAACACCGCCAACAGGCGGCATTGCCTCCCGTCCCCACTCTCCATTCTGCACTCTGCTTCCGCACGCCTCTGTTCACCGCGCCGCTGCAGGTCTGTCTTCGTCCTCTAGGGGGAAAACAAACCTACCTCGCTTTTGACCACCCTCGCTTCCAAGAGATACCAAACGATGCCGAACTACGGCCTGTACTGGTCAGGCCGCTTGACGAGGAGGCGCGTGGTATGACTTGGTTTTGCCTGGAAGCGAAAGCGGGGTAGGTAATTCACCCTTCGATCCTCTCGCTGCAACTCTCTCCTGCGTCGCCGGCGCTGCCTGTTTGCTGACCCCAAAGCACTGCAGGCCTGGACCCGTGGAGACGGGGAGCGGGGACGGGCCTTGGATCACTTGTGGGGTAACGGAGCTGCCACGTACGACTAGAGCGGCGCGGCTGCCGCTCGGGGCTGCCTGCCCTCACGCTTGCAACCTGAACGTGTGTGTGTATCGTCCTTCTCCGTTCGGTCCGTCCTCGGTGACGGTTATTCGTTCAGGCTCATGGTTCGGACCTTCTCCTCTCCACCGTGCGGCCTGGCCGGCGCAAGCCCTATGGCCTCGGTGTCCCGTGCCCTTTTCGCGTCTCGCCGCCCTGCCTCTTCCAGCTGCGCCCGCCGGGCTCGATTCGTTGGCTCCCTGCCCGAGTCGGCATTCTGCACCTCCTTGTTGCAATGCACGCTCCGTGCTGCCGCATCGAGCCCGCGCAGCGTCAAGGGGAGGCGCCACAAGAGGGCGGGAGGGGGGCCTCCGCCAGGGCGGAGAGGAAAAAGCGAGGGGCAAGCTAAATTGACTATCGCGTGGGGCAAGAGGAAGCGAAGGGGGCAAGCGAAGAGAAAAAAAACGAGGGGCGAGCGAAGAGGAAAAAGCGATGGGGCGAAGAGGAAAGAGCGAGGGGCAAGCGAAGAGGAAAAAGCGAGGGGCAAACTGAGTAGGTTATCATGTGGCCCCTGCCGCCGGAATGACTCTGCGGGCCCCTCGAAGCCCCTCCGGAGGCCTCCAGGGACCTCCAGAGGCCTTCAGAGGGGGACGGGGCAGCCGATGCTCTGGCCAAAATGAGGGGGCACGCCGAGCAGTCGTCTCAGTCCAAAGCGGGCGCCGAGCGACTGGAGTTCGTTCGGTCCTGTCCCCCATACAGGGGGATTTTGGGCGAAACATTAGACATATTCAGAACATACCCCCCAGATGCTCAAACGTAGTGAAAAAAAACATCCCCAGACTATTCTTAGACTATTTTTGAATAGCCCCTCCTGTAGAGGGACAGGCCCGACCTAAGACTAGAGCAGGGAGGGCCTCGTGTGGCGGAGTGATGTGCAGGCCGCGAAGCAGGGCAGGGGAGCACAGGATGGTGGTGGAGATGGTGGTGGTGGTTATGATGACGATGCTGATGCTGATGCTGCTTTGCTGATGATGCTGCTGCTGATGATGATGATGATGCTGATGCTGCTGATGCTGATGATGATTCGGATGATGATGAGGAGGGTGAAGGGGGAGGATGGCATCAACTACTGGGAGGTACCTGTCTGCAACGATCCGGCGATCCAGAGGAAGAGGAAGGAAGGACAGGATAGGGGACGGAGCCAACAATGGCAATCAGAGCTAGCCGGGACTGGACGAGGTCAACCGAGCCCCTGGCAGCCACAAACAAATTGCCAATCGGGGCCATTCGGGGCTGGGGGCCAGTCACGGAAAGCTTCCGCGTAACCTCAGAGCAGCGGGCTTGCATGCTGCTGCGTACGTGGCTGACCTCGGAACCCCTGGGCATGCCAGCGTTGACCTCTCTGATGGGTCCTGCCGTCCTTTCAGCCGAGCTTCCATCGGCGGAGCCTCCCTTGTTATACTTCCACCCGCTTAAGGTAGCTTCTCTCCCAGCTCTCCTGATGAGCTGGTCGTTCACAGGCGGCGCGTACAAATAGTCGACGACGCTGCTGACGTCGATGCCTTCTGACGCCGCCCTTTCCACCTCCCATCTCTTTCTTTCCCTCCCGCCTCCTCCATATGTTACTCCTCTCCCCCTCCCCCTCCCCCCCTCCACATCCCATTTCCCTTTGCCTCATTTCCTTCCCGCACCCCTTCCTACTCCTCCTTCTCGTAAAGACGCTGTTGAGGGCAGAGGCGGAGAAGGACGACGACCATGAATTTTTGCTCGATGCGCGAGCCCCCCTGTGCTAAGCCTGGGACGCACGGCTGACGTCTTGGACATTCACCGAATTAAGGGAGGATGGGGAGGAGAAGAAGACAGGAGGACACGAGGGGAGGTGGTGGTGGGACGGTGGCATTGGCGGTGTCGCCGTGCTCGTGTCCAACGGAGGCCCTCATGTGGGGCCTTGGGGGCCGGTGGAAAAGTGGGAGGCGAAAGAAAGCCTCCCCCTCCAGGGCGCCCTGCGCTGCGCCTCCGCCTCGGCGCGCATGGCCTTTGCGGGCGCGCGCGGCCTGGCGGTTCGCTGCCATTCTAGTGAGTTGCTCCTCGCTCGGGGGAGGAGGAGGGGGGGAAAGAGGCAGCGACGGCGGCGGCGGCAGCAAGGAGGAGGAGGGAGGAGGGGGAAGAGGAGGAAGGACCTGGCTTGCGGCAGAACGAGCGGCTCAGGAAGCCGGCGCTGCGATCTCGCTGCCGCCAGGGCCATCCAGCAACACGACGAGGCCTCCAAATTTGGCGTCCATGGCCAGCTCGCCGAGAGGCTGAGGCCGACGGTCGCCCAAAGACTCACCAATGCGAGCGTCCCATGACTCCCACAGCCGGTTGAGGCGGAAGGCGGTGGCGCTCTGACTCGCGACATCCACGCGGGAACCCTTCGCGAACGCCCTGGTGGTGTCGCGCGAGTAATACCCGCATGATGCAAAGAACATGAAATTATCTACCGTCAGGACGACGACCATGAAGCGTAGGAAGATGATGATGATGATGATGATGATGAGGAGGAGGAGGAGGAGAATGAGAAGGACGAGGAAGATGATGATGAGAAACGAATGATGATGAGGAGGAGGAAGAAGAGGAGAAGGAGGTGGAGATAATAGGGGAGGAGGCGCAGGAGGAGGAGAGGACACGACGAAGAGGGGGATGGAGGAGGAATGATGATATGATGATGACGATGACGGCAATAATGATGATTCTGATGATGCTGATGCTGATGCTGCTGCTGCTGCTGCTGATGATGGCACTGCTGATGATGCTGATGATGCTGCTGCTGCTGCTGATGATGATTATGGTGCTGACGATGCTGCTGGTGATGATAATGATAACGATGAGGTCGTTGTTGATTATGATGCTGGTACTGATGATGATGATGCTGATGATGCTGCTGCTGCTGCTGATGATGATGATGATAATGATTATGGTGGTGATCATGATGATGATTCGGATGATGCTATGTTGATGATGATGAGGATGATGATGAGGCGGAGGAGGAGCAGGAGGAGAAGGAGGGGGAGTAGGAGGAGGAGGATTGGGAGTGGAGGATCAGAGTCATGACCACCTCCCACCTCCCTTCTTCTCCTTGGTAGAGGAGTGCGACAGAGAGAACAGGATAACGAGCGGCCCTCCCTCCTTCGGAGTGAAGCAGATGTAATGCACCACCATGCAAAGCACATAATCATGCTTCACGCTGCGCTGATGCTGAGACCATAAACTTCGAGCTTTGCAACCTAGCTGAGCCCTGGAAGTACAACAATATTTGGGCTGCGTCACGATCACAACGAGAAGCCTGTTCGGAGAGCATCTCGACCCATGTGTGACAGCTCTGCCACTCTGAAGCCCCTTTCTGTGGTCGCCACAAGATGGAGTAAACGGGCGAACACTGAAATCGCATGGAACGCATGACCTTCTCAGTCTTCCCGCTTTTGCTGCTCCTCCTAACCAGATCCTCATCAGGCTCCTTCTCCTTGTCCCCAATCCTGCTGCTGTTGCGGTTCCTTCTCCTTTTCCGCCTTCTCTTCTCTTCTCTTATCTGACCTTTGCTTCTTTTCTCTGCTCATCTCTTCTATTCTCTTATCTTCTCTTCTCTTCTCTCTCTTCACTTCTCTTCTCTTCTCTTCTCTTCTCTTCTCTTCTCTTCTCTTCTCTTCTCTTCTCTTCTCTTCTCTTCTCTTCTCTCTTCTCTCTTCCTCTTCCTCCTCCTCCTCCTCCTCCTCCAGTTGGCGCTGGTGCTGATTGTTTTCTCAATCGAAATGTACCTCTCGACGCTCGGACCCGTTTTCTGTCGAGGATGGCCGGGGGGCTCAGACTTTGTCCCTGGGTCCCTTGGTTTCAATTCGGACCACCCGACCTACTGGGGGGACCCCCAACTCCAGAGTGCTCCAAATAATTTGAGCCTCCGACGCCAACATTCTGAAGTGCTTCAGGGGTTATGTGCCCCAGGGTGCTGAGATCATGAATGTGTGCTTCGAGGGTGCTGCATCTCTCAGCACGACATTCCCGAGTGCTTCAAAAGATCAACTTCTTCCCATGTTCCCCTTCCTCCCTCCCGTGTTCCTCCCCCGCCTCCTTCCTCCCTGCCTCGCCCCTCCTCCCTCCTCCATACTCCCGCTTCCCTTCTCTCCATCTCCCCTCCTGCCCCGTCCGCACGAGATAGGGTTCCGCCCGGCCCGGCTCCACCTTCTCTCCTCTCCTCTCCTCTCCTCTCCTCTGTCGTCGTCGTCGCTCTCATCCTCCAACTTCTGCAGCTCTTCCTGCTGTTCCTTCCGCCTTCTCCTCCTGTCCTCTACTTCGCTACTCGCCCCCTTCCTCCTCCTGCCCCTCCCACTCACCCAAGTCCTCCCCGTGCTTCTCCTGACGGTCGGGAACCTGTGCGAAGGTGACGCCTGGGGAACGGGATGTGGATAGCGTGTCGCTCAAGAAGAGCCAAATCCATACGGAGTAAATCCATACGGAGTGCTCGGTCTCCGTCTGGGCTTACCTCGTCTGGACTCAGCCTCTCCTGACTGGAAGCCAAATCCATACGGAGTAAGTCCATATGGAGCGTTCGGTCCCCGTATGGATTCATTCCCTCCGGACTTAGCCTCTCCTGAGTCGCGCCGCAGCGTGGTGGGCCAGAACCGGCGGAGCGACACGCTATCCAAAAGATCCCGACCGCAACCTCTGCCCCCCCTTCTCCTGCTGCTCGTCCTTCCCCCGCCGGCTCCCCATCCCGCTCCCCCGCTCCCCCTGCCTCCTCCTCCGCCTCCTCCTCCTCCTCCTCCTCCTCCTCCTCCTCCTCCTCCTTCTCCTCCTCCTCCTCCTCCTCCTCCTCCTCCCAGTCCTCCTCCTCCTCCTCCTCCTCCCAGTCCTCCTCCTCCTCCTCCTCCTCGTCCTCCTCCTCCTCCTCCTCGTCCTCCTCCTCCTCCTCTTCCTCATCCTCCTCCTCGTCCTCCTCTTCCTGCCCTGCCCTGGGGGGGGCCCACGGCCGAGGCCTACGGCGCGGCCCGTCACCGACCACTGGGCCGAGATGCCCACGAAGGCCAACATCGCCAGCCGGCCATTCTGGAGCTCCTTCGGGGCGCTCGGCCCGCTCATCGTCATCCGCCTCCTCCCTCCTCCTCCTCCTCCTCCTCCTCCTCCTCCTCGTCCTCCTCCTTCTCCTCTTCCTCCTCTTCCTGCTCCTCCTCCTGCATCCCTATTCCTTACAGATAACTCCTCCCTGTCGTACATCCACACGTGTCGGTAGGCTGGGCGTGTCGTCTCAGATTTCGTCTCCACTTCTGCTCCTGCAGCTTGAGCATTGTAATAATCTCATGGATGTAGGGGGGGTCGTTTTCAAAATGGGGCTTTCACCTTAGCGCTGCGCGCGTTGGTTTCAAAACTTTCAAGAACCTTGGAGGATTGAGGAGGGTCTCGCTGGACACCTTGTTGAAGTATACAACTATCTCTCTGGCATTCCTGATAAAGCGCCAGAATACTGCACAACAGCTCAGTTTCAAAACGGGACCCTCGCCAAAATGACAGGCCCCAATCGGTGCTGGTCTTTCAATGGGGGTGCTTCTTGCACTCAAGAGGAAGGCTCGCAGGGCCGCGTAAGGAGGGGACTTGGGACGGGAGGGCGTATTTCAGTATCGCTGATGCATCTTGGGTTTACTCTGGTTCTCCTCCTCCTCCATTCTCTCTCTCTCTCTCCTCCTCGGCGCTCTTCTACTCTTCCTCCTCATCCTTCTCCTCCTCCTCCTCCTCTTCCTCCTCCTCCTCCTCCTCCTCCTCCCTCTCGTCTTCTCGTGCTTTCATCCCTTCGTAGTACATGCTCCTGCTCTGCCCCACAGCTGGCCGATCGCTCCCCCCTTCGGGACCCTGCATCGTACGTGTGCAAAAATCAAGTCGCCACCGTGCCTGCGGCACTTTGAGGCGTGGAAGAGTGCCAAAGGCTGCCTGGCACGGTTTCTGTAGTCTGCTAACGGCCCCCCCCACACCCCTGGCCACACCGACCTAACTGCATCGCCTCTACTCCCCGAGGGTCTCTGGGAGGCCATGGCGCCTCCCTGGGGCTCTCTCCAAGGGTTCCATGACGGACCAGGAGGGCCCCAAGACGGTCCAAGATGGCCCCAAGTCGCTGAAAGATCGCCGAAGCCGAAGCCGCCCAAGATGCCTTACAGAGGCCTCCCGGGAGGACCCCCCCAAAGCAAACATCAGTGGTGGTCCTTAAATTTTTGATGGATTTTGGCGTTCTCGGGTTTTCGGCAACCTGACGCTCCAAGACGGCCCGCGAGGTCCCCAATGCCACCCCCAAACGGCCCAACAGGCCTCCAAGAGGGCCCCCCAAACGGTCCAAGAACGCCCCAAGACGACCCGAGAGGCGCCCAAGATGCGCCCAAAACGGTCCCGAAAGGGGCCCAAGAGAGGCAACACGAATCGAACACCTGAACCTTCTGCCCAAGAGGCGCCTAAGAGGCCCCAAGAGGCTCCCGATAGGCTCCCAAGAGGCCCCCCAAAGGCCCCAAAGAGGTCCCCAAACGGCCCCCAACATGCCTCACAACTGCCTCCAAGAGGCGCCCGAGGGGCTTCCCACGAGATCCCGACGAACATCTAATAGGCTTCATATCCACAGCCCAGGCACGGAGGCGGGGTTTGCCGTAGGCAGCTGGATACATCGTCGACGATCTTCGTATCAACATGGCCATTCGGTCGTCCATATTGCAAAACTTGTGGCAAGAACGGGACGGGACCCGCATCCCGCGCGAAAGGCCGAAACGTCGCCGTCTTGGTGCCTTCACGAGCCGTGCTGGGTGTCTCTGAGGCTGTCTTGGGGCCCACTTGGGCTGTCTCGGGGCTGCTGTGGGGGCCTCCTGGGTCACCTCGGGGCCGTGTTGGGCCTTCCGGGCCCACTGCTCCAGAGAATTGAGCTCCCGCTTGGGTGTGGCGCGCACTTCTCTCGCGCGGCTCCGTCGACGCGCGAGCGGGCGGACACGTCGCTCTCGCCTCGGCTCTGCGCAGACTCCGCCTGAAAGTGGCGCCCCCGCCCCGACGCGCCGCACAGCTGCCACTCGCTATTCCTTTGGAGCCCGCGCGGGCGGCGACTTGTCGCCATCGCCCAAAAAAGCTCCGTGCGCACCTCGCTCGGGAGTGGCGCAGCGCATGCTTCTTCGTCTGCCGAGTCGCACGGCAGCGGCAGCGGGAGCGGGGCCGCGCGCGAGCGGGCGAAACACCGGCCTCGCCCGGGCTGCCCCCCTCCGCCCTCCTGACGCGTCCCGCCATCCCCGGTCGTTGCCATCGCACTCCGCCCACGACGTGGGACGCCATCCCTGGTGGCAGAGCGCCACCAGAGAGGCTCCAGGCTGCGCCCTTTGCGGCCCCGAGGCCGTCGGTGCCGAGTGCCGACGTGGGAAGGAGGAGGAGGGCACAAGGCACAGAGCACAAGTCCGATCGAGCGCCCCAGGACGCCTCGTCCCGCCTGCGGGAACGGCGTTATATTCCTGCATGCGAAGAAGACCACGTGCAGCGGAACAGTGCAAAGGATGAACACACCCCTCGCCGCACAGTGTGTGAATGAACGTGGGCATGCTGTGTCAGCGCGGCGCATGCCCCGTCGTCGCCGCGCCCATCGGAAGTTCTGCCGCTCCCGCCCCCGCGCGCGGCCCGCGCCGTTTTTTCCCCTCGGCAGGGTCGGCGGGGGAGCGGGGGGCCGCGCGCGAGCACCCCGTCCGTTTCTCCAGAGGCTGGGAGCGCGTGCCCATCCCAGTGGCGAGCTGTGCCAGGTCTGATGGTCATGCTGTGGGGGGGGACATGCAGTTGCGGGCGCGGCCGCAAGAAACCCTCGCAAGAAACATAACCACGAAAACCCGCGCGCGAGGTGCACCTGAGGAGAAGCCCGAAGCACCCCGAACGCAGCAGCTTCTGCAGCGGCTGCGGGAAGCCACCGCGCAGTGCGCGGAGCGAAGACACCCAGGACACCCTGACGCAAGGGATATGGTTTCTTGCTGCGCGCCCCCACTGTAGGCGGGGCCTCTGACTCGCTCGACCTGGCGAACTTGGCCTCCTCCTCCTCCTGCTTCTCCTGCCTCTCTTCCCTCTCCTCCCCTTCCTCCTCCGTCTTCACATGCGCGGACGGCACCTGAGGACAGGACCACCAATCCGCGCACATTGCACGTTCACATTCGCACCTCCTCCCTTGACTTACGAAGGTGGGCGGATGGGTGGTAGCACTTACTGACGAGAGGTACTCGCCAGAATGGTGGGCCCACCTGCCGCTCGTCTTTCAAGGTGGCTCTCCCCGCATTGAGAAGGAACGTCTTGCAATGTGGAGGGGGCTTTGGGACGACAGGGTGTGCTCCAGCATCGTTGGTGCATTCTGGGTTTGCTCTGGTCCTCCTGCTCCTCCTCCTCCTCCTCCTCCTCCTCCTCCTCCTCCTCCTCCTCTCCACCTGCCCCTCTCTCTCCTCCTTCCTCTTGCCTCCGACTTCCTCCTCTCCAGTCGTCCTCCTCCTCCTCCTTCTTCCTCCTCCTCCATCTCCTCCTCATCCTCCTCCTCCTCCTTCCCCTCCTCCTCCTCCTCCTCCTCCTCCTCCTCCTCCTCCTCCTCCTCCTCCTCCTCCTCCTCCTCCCCCCTCCTCCCTCCTCCCCCCTCCCTCCTCCTCCTCGTCCTCCTCCTCTGCTGCTGCTGCTGCTCCTCCTCCCTCCTCCTCCTCCTCCTCCTCCTCCTCCTCCTCCTCCTCCCCTTCCTCCCCCTCAACAACCGATCCCCAGAGGTCTCCATGAATGCATTCTGGCCAGAACTTCGAAGCGAATCCAATCGTAGCGACGAGGAGCATTCAGGGGGCCCAGGCGGGACCCAACAATGCTCGAATACCCAGATCCTTGAACTTCGGTTCTCCAGCTTCGACCCTCGGTCGACCGATCCTCCTCCTTCTCCTCCTCCTCCTCCTCCTCCTCCTCCTCCTCCTCCTCCTCCTCCTCCTCCCCCCTCGTGGCACCACTCGCTCGAGGGGCGCCTTGTAGGTCTTCTCGGCCAACTCGCCCCTCTTCCTGTCCAACCTGCGCTTCGGGTCGCGACTGGCGCGGCCGTTCGCGCCGCGCGCAGCGGTGACAGGCAGCAGCCCGGCGCGATGCCGCTGAGACGGGTTCGTCGTCGTCGTCCTCGTCGTCGTCCTCGTCGACGTCCTCGTCGTGTTCGTCGTCGTCCTCGTCGTGTTCGTCGTCGTTGTCGTCGTCCTCGTCGTCGTCGTCGTCGAAGTCGTAGCCGTCCTCCTCCTCCTGCTCCTCCTCCTCCTCCTCCTTCTCCTCCTCCGGGGGAGAGTGGCGGAAGGCGAGTTGGGTGCGCTCGCGCCATATCTGTCATCCTCAAATCCTTCGCATTGCGCTTTTCTTTGTTCTCTCTTTCTCTTTCTCTCTCTTTCTCTCTCTCTCTCTCTCCCTCCGCGGACGCGTGTCATAACTGACCTGGAACTTCATTACCTCATCAAGGCACCCCGATCCCACCAGCCATTTGGGGCGTGGGCGGTTCAGGGCGTTTCCTCTTACAACGCCCCTTCTTCCCCGTCGGGGAGGGTTTCAATTATCACAATTCCATATTAATATACACCCCCGCGCCCACCCGGCCGGCGGCAAACCCGGAACCATGTCAACCCCATGAGGGCCACCCCCGCCACCATCCTCGTCAAAAAAACAAAAAGCAAAATGCACTCTGCCTCCACATTTGGAGCATGCGCGGCCGCCCCGCGACCATTTTGTATAGGTATCTTACAAGTACGGCTGGGGTGCCAGCAGATCCCACCTGCCTTCTGGGCGCAGGTGGTCGACCGACTGCTTTGACACATCAGCGGCTGGTGCCTTTTCGCCTTACCGTTTGCGATGGGATTTCGAAACCTCCGCACGGCTCCAAAATTGGCCAGGAAAGCCCAAAGCCGGGCCCAAGAGCCCCTATTGGTCCCCAGTGGCTGGCGCACCTGGCGCGGCTGGAGCACGTGGAGCACTGGGCGCACGTGGAGCACGTGCCGCACCTGGCGCGCCCGGCACGCTTGGGCCTTCAGGGCCTGGTGCATCTGGAACCCGTGGCGTCTGCGGCGTTCCTACGCGATGTGCTGACTCCCAGGTGTTACGTATGCGTTGGGAGGGCGGGTGGGAAAGAGCAAGACGGCTTGCGGGCGGGTGGGAAGCTGGACCCCTGCCCCTACCCCGTCCCCTGGATCTGGACGGGGCGCCCCGTGACAGCTTGGAGCGCCCAAGGTAGCCCAAGGTGGCTCCAAGAGGGCCTCCGAGAGCCGAAAATGACCTACAAGATGGCTCAAGATGGCTTCCGACAGGTTCCAAGAGGCTGAAGACCACCCCAAGACGGCTCCAAGTGGCCACGGAGCATTCCCAAGAGGGCCATGACGAGGCCAGCATCCTTCTAACACCGTAAGAACATCAATGTTTTTCGCCGTCTCGCATTTTTGCTTCCTATGGCCCTCCGAGGCCTCAAGATGGCTCTAAGAGCGCGTTTCTTTATGTTCGGCGATGACGGGCGTCATGGGGGGGGGGGAGGGCGGGGGGGGTATGACGTGACGCCCCCCCCCGCCGAGTGGCTCCGGCACCACAGCCGCGCCAGCGCGCACGAAGCGACGAGCGACGAGCGACGAGCGACGACGACGACGACGACGCGAGCAGCATGTAAGTGGCGATCTGCCCATTGCGCCTGCGTGCGCCACAACGCTCGCGTGCACCACACCGCGCGTGTGCACCACAGCGCCTGCGTACACCGCAACAGCCGTGTGCAATGCACCGCCCGCGTATACCACAATACTTGGGAGCACTACAGCGCCGGTGTACATACACCGCAACAGCCATGTGCAACACAATGCCTGTGTACACCACAGTGCTTGCGTGCACCGCAGCGCCTGTGCACGCCACAGCGCCTGTCTACACCACAGCATCCGCGTGCAACGCAGCGCTGGTGTACACCACAGTGCCTTCGTGCACAGGACAGGTAGAAGGAACATGTACGTCAGGATCTGCTGCGGACAACTAAACGCCACGCCAGGAAAGTTCTGATAATCGAATACGACATTTTCCCTTCCTCCCTCCTCCTCCACCCCTTCCTCCTCCTCCTCCTCCTCCGCCTCCTCCTCCTCCTCCTCCTCCTCCTCCCCCTCCTCCTCCTCCTCCTCCTCCTCCTTTTCCTCCTTTTCCTCCTTCTTACCCCCTGTCGTGCGGTTTGGCGCTACAACGCACGTGCGCATCTCAGCGTGCACCGCAGAATGGTCGATTGAATCGGTCCACTTGGTTCTCGGACGGCCAGTTTAGCTGGAGCCTCCTGAACGTGAGTGGGAGTTAGGGTGATGCGGGCGGACTCGGGGGGACTCGTAGGTTCCAGCGGCGCTCCTTTGTCCATGAGGATTTGTTTCCCATTGCTTTCTCTGGAATCCACACGCGCTCCATTTTGTCATAAGGATCCCTTCTGAAATTCTATACACAACAATGGTGCTGTGTTGCACACGGTTGATGTGATGCACACAGGCGCCGTGGCGTACACAGGCACTGCAATGCACGCAGGCATTGTGGTGTACACTGGTGTTGTGTTGCGCACGGCTGATGTGGGGTACGGAGGCGCTGTGGTGTACGCAGGAGCTGCTGTGCCCACAGGCACGGTGGCACAAACTGACGCTGTGTTGCACGCGGCTGCTGTGGTGTACGTCGGCGGTGTGGTGTACACAGGCGCTGCGGTGCACGCGGGCACTGTGATGTACACAGGCGTTGTGGTGCATATCGCCACCTACATGCTCGTGCTACCCGTCCTCCGTCATTCCGAAGCATTCCCAGACGCCGCCGGCGCGAAACGTGACGTCATCGACCCCCTCCCCCCCCAAATGATTGCCGTCATCGGCCCGGACTAAAAAACAGGCTCCAGCCGCGTCCGCGCGCACGACGACGATGAGCGACGAGCGACGAACCACGAGCGACGACGACGGACGACGACGACGACGACGACGACGACGACGACGACGACGACGACGACGACTCCTGCGGACCAGACACCTGTGGATTCCTACGCGGACACCTACGCGGATCCCAATGCGCACGGCGGCAGTGCCCGGAGCGCACTGGGGGGGGGGGGAGCGTTACGTCATAGGGGGGGGTGGGGGGGGAGCGGGGGCCATGACGCCCGTCATGCCCCAAGCAATAAAGAAACGGGCTCTAAGAAGGCCCAATACAGCCTCAAGAACCGTCCAAGAGGGTCTCAAGACGGCCCCCAGAGCGCTCCAAGAGGCGAGCTTAGCTGCAGAGGGGGGGGGACCCTGATTGGGAACCGCCCTTCTTTTATCGAACCTCTCCAAGGTAGCCCCAAGATGGCCCCCAAGGCTCCCAAGAGTGCCCCAAGAGGGCCCCAAGAGGCGCCCAAGAGGCCCCGAGAGGCCCCCGAGGTCGTGCACGTGCGCCGCAGGGAAGCAACGCAAGGGGGCGAACATGGACGATGGACTTCCTCCCGGCCAACGCAAACGGAACGAAAACCTTGTCGGCACGCTTGAGAGAGCTGGGGGGAAGCGCCGGCATACTTTGCAGAGTCAGTGATCCTCGCGCTTGGGTGTATTTTTTTTGGTCGCGTCCACCAGCGAAGGCGCTAGCGGAGTCAGAAGCGCTACGGGTCACGACAACGGCCTAATTAGCAGCTTAACGCGCCGCGAGCCGGCAATCACGCTTGGGTGTACGCGAGACTGGGGAAAAGAGCTGAGCTACATAGCTCGGGGTGGGCACGCCGCCGGTGGCGTGAAGCAGGGCGTGAGCGCGATGGATGCGGGGCTCGGAGGCGGCCGGGGGGGGGGGGGGACCTGAGCTCCTCGGGCCCCGAGAGAGCCGGCCAAGGAGGAGGATGAAGGCAACATCGGCCCCCAGACTCCTCCCAGGTCCACCTGGTGCAACTTTTCACCCCGGGTCCGTTCTTGACGGTCCTGAGGCCCGGCAGCGGCCCCTGGAGACCGAAGCGGGCAAAGCACCCTCTCGTACCTCGCACCTCGAACCTGCCCCCCTCCTTCCCCTGCTCGCTGGAACCCATGCTGGGCCGCCTCGGACCCCCAGCTGGCTCCAAGCGGCGGGACAACCATCTTCCCATGGGTTTGCACTACTGCGTGGCCCGCGTTGGCGGCCTCGCCGCAAGGCCGAGCCATACGCTCAAGTGCTGGGCGATCGCGGCGACCCAGAAGGCGCTCCAGCGAGGCCCGGCGTCCGCGAGCGGCAAGCTCAACTGGCTCGGACAGCGGGGCCCGACACGGAACAACGACACATCATTTCTGGGCTTGCATCGTGAGGCCTGCGAGCCACTCCGCAAAGCTCAATGTTTCACCAACGGGGCCCAATTGAGCTGCAAGGAAGAGGATGCCAACACCATCAGCACGCGCGCGCGCCAAGCCCTGGCCTTGGGGAGGGAGCACGCGCTGGAGGTGACAGAGGCAGGGATGCCGCGGAGCGCCCGAGGACTTCCGCTGAGCGGACGCCCTTGAAAGATGCCACTTGGTAGCTCACGCATCGGGGCGATATCCACGTCCCCGAATCTGGCAACGGCGACGGGGGCAGAGCGCAAGACTTCGATGGCGCATCGCATTTCGACCTGAACCCCGCAATTGATAAGAGCCAGGGGCTGCCATAGAGTGGAGGCCAGTCCACAAGAAACCCTCCACAAGAAACCAAACCCCTAGACCCCAGGACGTCCATCGACTTTGGGCGTGGGAGCCTCGCGCTCCCCACAGCAGAACCATCGGAACCCAAGAAGCCCAGGGCACCCTGGAGGCACGCAGGGTGTTTCTTGGCATGGGCCCCCACTGTATCCGAGAGAGGCTCGGCAAGGTGGCCGTTTGGAATCGAGAGAGATGAGCACAGGGGCGCTGCTCGCCGCCCCAATGGGGGGGGCCATCCAGCCCAGCGGGCCTCCGAGTCCATACACGGTGTGTGCTGCCAACAGAACTCCGACCCTGGCTGTGCCCTTTCTAGGACTCGCGGGTCCGCTCTTCTACCGATGGCCTCAGAGTGAGACCCGCCGCAGAGCTGGAGGCTTCCACTCTCTGTAACGGCCGGGCATCCTGCGAGCTGCGAGCGATGCAGGAGATATCCTCGGGCTCGGTCCCGCTGGAGGGACGCGCAAACACCGAAAAGTTAGCTTCGTGTGGCATCGCCCTCAGAGTACATGTTCCGCGGTAGCCTATATAATATCTTGTGAGCACCATCGTGCGAGAGTCAGGCGGCGTAAGAAATGCGATCAGGGCCAATGGCGCTCGGTTTCGCTCGCAACAAGGCCTGGGCCAGGGCCTCGAATGTGGGCGGGGGAGAGAGGGCGCTGTTCAGAAAAGCATGCATCTCGTTAACGGGGTTTATTGCTGACAAGTGACACCCCATTGGAGGACATGTGCAACTGATGCGCACCCCATCACCTCACCCTGAACCTCTTTATCGGCCGCCAGCTGGTCAATTGAGCGCCTTCGTGGTAGTGTACACACCTACCTCATCTCTGCCTCCTCCTCCTCTTCCTCCTCCTCCTCCTCTTCTTCCTTCACCTTCTTCTTCTTCTCCTCCTCCTTCTCCTCCTCCTCCTCCTCCGCCTCCTCCTCCTCCTCCTCCTCCTCCTCCTCCTCCTCCTCCTCCTCCTCCTCCTCCTCCCCCTCCTTTCTCCTCTCGCTCCACACTGCACCGAAACGTCGGCACGCGGGCGCAGCGGTCCGGGCGGAGGGGCCCACTGCCGATATCCAGGTCGCCCGCTATCCTATCCTGGGTGGTGGGGGGGGAGGGAGGCGGGATGAAGCAGGGAGGAACGAGGGCGGACGATCGGTGCGGAAGAAGGGAGGTTCAGCCGAGGGGAGGACGGAGCATGGTGGAATGAGGCTGGGGGAAGGGAAGACGGGAAGACAGGGGCATTCCCACGACGGGAGGGGGTGGGCAAGCCGGGACGGGTCCCGTGTGCAAGCAGCGAGAGCCCTCCTGGCTAGCAGCCAGCGGGATCCCCCTGGGAATGAGGGCGGGGCGTGCGCGAGCCTTGTGCCCCCTCCCCCCTCCCCTTTTCCTCCTCCTCCTCCTCCTCCTCCCCCTCCTCCTCCTCCTCCTCCTCCTCCTCCAAATCAACTATAGTCAAGAACTTACAGCCTACATTGATGCCCGGGAGGGTGGCGAGAAGCCTGCCCAACGAATGCACTGAAGCAAATTTCGATCTGGCATGGCTTTGTGGTGTCCCTTGATCAATCCGAGATCCCTGGTCTACCGTCCTCGCATCTCTCTCGTCCGTCCCCTTCCGCCCCTCCCGCCTTAATCGCTCCGCCTCCGTCACTCCTTCTCCTCCTCCTCCTCCTCCTTCTCCTCCACTCTTTTTGCTTTCTCCTCTCTCCTCCCCCCCCCTCCCCCGCTCTCCTCCGCTTCCCTCCTCTTCGACTCTCATCCTCTCTGTTCCCCTTCTCCTCCTCCTTCACCTGCCCTGCAGAACGTCGGATAACGAGATGAGAAACGTTTGGGCATCAGCATGGGCAGTAGGATCAGCATGGGTATTGGCATCAGCATGGGCAAGCGTCAGGCCTGGGCATCGGAATCGACAAGGATGGAACACCATGCCTGGGTATTTGCGCCCTGCCGCGGAGGCGGTTCATGGAAGTTGTTCCCCGGCCGTTTCCCGAAATGTCAGGGGGCAGCCGAGTTCTTCCTTGAATGCCCACACGCACGATCGCCAATGCTTATGGTTTCGCACCCAATTCTGGGGGCATCCTTGTTCCGCAATTGTTTCCCGAGGGGAGGCCCCAGGAGGGGGGGGGGCGGGGTGCGCCACCGCCAAGAGAGCTGGGGCGCTCACGGTGGCTCCCAGAGGGGCGGGGGCTTCCCGATGGACAGGCCAGGGTGCAGCTGTCAGTTTGGCTGTAGCCTCCTCATGGCTTCCGCGTCCTAGGAAGCGTTCCGTCGTCCATCGGTTGGCCGAGGTTCACTCCTTCCTCCTGCTCCCTCCCTCCCTGCCTGCCTCCTGTCCCCTGTCCATCCCTCCTCCCTCTGCCTCTCTCCTCCTCCCTCCTCCTCCTCCTCCTTCTCCTCCATCTCCCCTCTTCCTTTCGTCCTCCAAGTATTCTCTCTCTCTCTCTCTCTCTTACGCTCGCGTATGCCGTCAAGTTTTTGATTGCGCATGCGCCAGCGGAAACAATAACCCTTGCCCAAACGAAAGTTGAACAGCAGCGCACACTTTTGCCGCATACTTCGGTAGACCATGATCGAGGATAAATGCAGGCTCAACTATTCTAAGCAGAATTAGATGTACAACTCCTCCCCCTCCTCCTCCTGGTCTTCCCGCAGGTGTTCCAAGGAGCGCAGCCTGACTTCTCTTTAGCCACCCTCTAGTCAGAATCCCTTCTCTCCTCCTCTCCTTCCCTACTCCGTCTCCCTCCCCCTCTCTCTTCCCCAACTCATCCTCCTCGTGGTCGTCGTCGTCCTCCCCTTCCTTTTCCTCCTCTCTCTTCCCGTTCCTCATCCGCCTGCCCCGCGCGGAATCTCCGCTCCTGGTCCACTAGGAGGCGCCAGCCCCGGACGCCCTCGAGGATAGTCATGAACTGGATCAAGTTCACGAGAGCGTTTCGCTGAATGCCGGCAGGACGTTTTCACATGCGAGGGGGAGGAGGAGGACAACTACGAGAACGATGACAAAAATATGGCGCAGAGGACCGAAACGCCGGTGCGTTTCTTCCCCAACTATCGGGGGCGCGCAAACATGGATTAGAGATCCATGGATTTGGCGCGCGGTCGCCAAATCCATGGATCGGGGGGGGGTGCCCTCTCCAAAATGCGGCCTATGCCGCCTCGCTCGGCGGCGGAAATCTGCGATTTCCCATGGAAACGGGACCTTAGCTGCCCCGACACGCAACACGCAACGCGTATCGTATTGATACGGAGCTCAACACGCAGGCTGAAAACGTAGGTCCGACGCGATGCATTCGCCAAAGCGCGGTCCAATACATGGAGACAGCACGCCACGCATTGCCACGGACGTCTTGAGCACGGGACGTGTTGCGTTTCAACACGGGCGTATCGAGGCAACTAAGGACGGGACCCGTCGCTAATCCACGCACCCTTGATCCATGCTTGCGACCGCCAGAGACTAGGCTTCGTCTGAACGGTCCACACTCGCTCGGTGGAGAAGGCACGGTGGCACGGGCGGGCGTCGAGCGGGAACCTCGGGGATCGTCAGGTCGTTCTCGATGGCGGTGTGCAGTGGAGGCCAGTCCACAAGAAACCTCCGACAAGAAACCCAACCCTGAGATCCTGGGACGTCCATCGATTTCTGGTGAGGGAACGTCACGCTCTCCATGGCAAAACCATCGAAGCCCAAGAAACCCAGGGCACCCTGGAGGCACGCAGGGTGTTTCTTGGCATGGGTCTCCACTGTGGGGTGTCACAGTGATCGTGGCCAGAGGTCCTCGGGGTCGCCTGGGCGCTATGCTGTGCCATGCTGTGCCATGGTGTGCTATACGCTGATATACGTATCGTGCTACGCCATGTCCGCCGACCCCCGCTTGCTGGAGGTGATTAAAAAGCGTGTGAGATGACTCGTTGTCCTCCTCCTCCTCCTCCTCCTGTTCCCCTCCCCCAGGGTCCAACATGCAGTTTGAGGGCGCCCCCCGGGGGGCTGGGGGGACGAGCTCGTCAACGCAACCCAAGGCCCAGACAGAGCGCCAAGATACTCCAAGAGAGCCTTGAGACGGCCCAAGTTAGCCCCACGACGATCAAAGATGGCTTCGAGACCGCCCACGAAGCCCCCAAGACGGCCCAAGAGTGATCCCAGAGTGCTCCCAGAGGCCCACCGAGAGGGCCTCAAAGGCAACCTTCATCCCATTGCCGTCGGACGACGTATATCTTTTAGCATCCCCGCTTTTCATCTTGACAGCATCCGAGACGGCCCAAGGGGCCCCCAAGGTCGGCCCCAAACGGCCCCTGAGGTTCCCGAGAGGGCCCCACAACGGCCCAAGAGGTTTCTCAAACGGCCCCAGGGGCCCCAAAGACGCCCCAAGAGAGACCCAAGAGGGCCTCAAGAGGGGGAAAACGAACTGACACTGTGAGCCTTTGTGGCCAAGATGGCCACAAGAGCCGCCCAGAGGCTTCCGAGGCGCCCCAAGAGGCCTCAAGAGGCCTCCAAAAGGTCCCCAAGAAGCTCCCAAGAGGCCCCCAAAGAACCCCACAAGAGGCCCCTAAGAACCCCTCGAGAGGACCCCCGAAGCCCCCCGGATGCCTCCAAGAGCTTTCCGAAGCCCCCGAGGGGCATCCCAAGAGGACCCACATATGTCTTTTGTGTGTGTGTGTGTGTGTGTGTGTGTGTGTGTGTGTGTGTGTGTGTGTGTGTGTGTGTGCGTGCGTGCGTGCGTGCGTGCGTGCGTGCGTGCGTGCGTGCGTGTGTGTGGGTGCGTGTGTGTGTGTGTGTGTGTGTGTGTGTGTGTGTGTGTGTGCGTGTGTGTGAGTGTGTGTGTGTGTGTGGGTGGATGGGGGTGGGGGGTGGGGTGGGGGTGATGTTCGCTCTCTCTCTCTCTCTCTTTCTTTCCATTTCCCTCTGTCTCTTTAAGATTCCTTCTCTCTCTCTCTCTCTTTCTCTGTTCCTCCTCCTCCCCCTCCCCCCCTCCTCCTGCACCTCCCTCTCCTGCCCCCCCTGCGAAGGAGGGCTCTCCATGGAAGAGCGGAGCCGCGGAGCCTCCGCATCGCTGCCCGAAGCCGCCGACGTCTGCCTCCCTGGGACTGCAGCAGACGCGCGAGATGATTGGCTGCTCGCTTGCCAAGCACACTGAAGGGGCCACAGGACACACACACACACAAATACACACAAATAAAAAAGACTCTCATATTTTCCAATAGTTTTGGGGTTTTCGTCTTCCCCCATAATTTCCCATATTTTCTGAGGAATGGACGATTACTTGCGTCTGTGTGTGTTTTTTCCCCTCCTGACACATGTTAGCCCGAAGTGTCTGCATATGCTAGGGGGACAAGAAGGGACACGAACATAAAAGCTCGGAGGTCCGCGCGGATTTCTCGGATCGGCGCTGGACCCCCCTCCCTGGAGCGCGGAGCGCGCCAGGGGCGGCGCCAGAGGCGCTGCCAGGGGGCCCCAGCGCCGATCCGAGAAATCCGCGAGAACCTCCGATTTTTATGTTTATGTCACTGTTCGTCCCCCTATATGTGGGTACATCATTGTGCACCATGACTCGCCCTAGCAATTTCCATGGGCTCCTCACTTCGTCTGGGGGTCGGCGGAACGGTGCAAATCTCACCAGCCCTCTGGGCGTGAGTGGTTTAGGGAGATTCCTCTCCCAACTCCACTTCTTCCCCTTCGTGAAGGGGTTTATTACTGTTCCCCCTATTAGGATACAACCCCTCTCCCAGGCGACCGGCAGCCAACCATCAACAATGCCGACCCTATGCTCCCCACCCCCAACCATCCCAGTCGAAAAACAATACAAACCACACTCTGCCTCCAAATGCGAAGCATGCGCAACCAACCCGATGCGGCCCGCCCCACCATCCCTGTAAAAAACAATACAACATACACTTTGGGGCAAAGTGTGGAGTCATGTTCGTGAGGCCCGCGAGCACTTTGTATTGTTTTTTACAAGGGCGGCGGGGGTGTCAGCATGTTGCCTGCTGTGCGCAGGGCCACCATCCCTGTCAAAAACGATACAACATGCACCTCGCGGCTAAATCTGGATCAAGGGGTGGTGGCTGATGGCCTGCTGTGCGCAGGCCCACCAGGAACACTGATGGGCATTGGTTTTCGACAAAGATGGTGGGGGCTCACAAATTTCCCGATGTGTGCTGTCACGTGCGCCTGCGCACCACACTCTGCACGTGCCCCGAACGTGGCGCACCTGACCCGGTCGGAATACAGTCGGGGCGTCGGCCTAAGGAACCCTAAAGAAGGAACGAGGCCCCTTTCTCCCATACGTTGAGCTTCGATTTCCCATGAGAAACCTCAGGATAATCGAAGGCAAACTGCAGAACAATCAAGGAACACCGAGCCCCTCCCCAACGAAAAGGGTTCCTTCTTCAGGGCCCCGACCGTATGCGGCACACCTGGCGCACGTGGCGCATCTGGCGCACCAAGCGTGCCTGGCACCCTCGGGCCCCAGGGGGTGCCCGACGCGCGTGGCGCGCCGGGCGCGCGCGGCGCACCTCGCCCCCAGCTTCGCGCGCAGGGGTCGGCTTTGGTTCCCCGTAGCTGCCCATCCGAAGACGGCCGCTGAGCATGCCGAGGCTCGGGTCTTACTTATGGTGTTGGGAAGGCGGGTGGGAGTGAGCTGGACGGCTTGCTATCTAGGAGGGTGTCTTGACCCCTCTTCCTTATTCTCCCCCTGGACGGGCGGTCTCGCGACCCATGGGAGCGTCCAAGACGGCCTCGGCGAGAAGGCAGCAATCATTTATTTACCTAGGTTTTGGGGCTATCTTTTATCGAACTCCTCCAAGATGGCCCCAAGACGGCCCCCAACGTTCCCTAGAGTGCCCCGAGAGGGGCTATAGAAGCGCCGAGGAGGCCTCCAAGAGGTGCCCAAGAGGCTCCCAAGAGACCAAACAGAGGCCCAAAGAGGCTCCCCCGAGCCACCCAATACGCTCTAAGTGGCCCCTAAGGCGCCACAAGAGGCCCCAAGGCGCCCCAAGAGGACACCAAGCTCTCAAGAGACATCCGAAGAGACTCCGAGAGACATCCAAGAGGCCTCTGGCCTTTCTGCTCGCCCTGCTCCTCCTCCTCCTCCTTCTCCTCCTCCTTCTCCTTTTCTTCCTCATCCGCCTATTCCTCCTCCTCCTCCCTCCTCCCTCCGCCCTGCTCCTCCTCCTCCTCCTCCTCCCCCTCGCCCTCCTCCTCCTCCTCCTCCTCTTTCTTCTCCTCCTCCGAATCCTCCTCCATCCTCCCCATCTTTGGATATGACGGCTTCCCCAGCCCTTTATTCCACTGCATGCTCCTCCACATTCCTGATCAGGACAACTCGCCCAGGCATCGTTTCTGGATGGGCTAGTGGGGTGGGGTGACGTGAAGCGTCTTGGATTCCTTGAATATCACTATATGATGCTGTCGTTTGCTATGCAATGTCATGCGATTATAGCTGTGCAATGCTTGCGCTATACGTTGCTACGCTATGGTACTCAATGTCGTACGATGTAATATTATACAGTCTTGTACAATGCGTTAAGTTGCAATACGATGTCATGTGCTGCTATACGTTGGCAAAGCTTGCACGTCGGCGCATGGCTATGATACGTGAAGCTATACGATGTGCTGCTATGGTGTGCTATGCCATTATGGGTAGTCGTTGCCATGTTGCGTATTGCAATGCCAAGTCATCACTTGCAAAGCTGTGTGTCAATATGCTATGCCATGTTCTGCTATGCACTGCCATGCTGTGCAATGCTTTTCCAACCGCGACACAGCCGAGTTACCAGCGGCACTGGGCTCGGCAGACTCGCCCTGGCGCCAGGCACTCCCCCGACGAACGCTGCGTGCTGTGAGCCTTCCAGGCACTATCACAGCACGCTCCAACACACGCTTTCCACGCCCGAGCGCGGCGAGGTCTTCAGGGCAGCGGGGAACTCACTGCGGCCCTGGTCTCGAACATGAGGGAGAGGAGCCGGCAGGGAGAACGAGAGTACAGCAGCGCAGGTGCGCGGCCAGCTCTGGCGCACGGTGCGAGGCAGCGAATCGCACACGGCCTCAGAACAGGTGCGCCGCGCCGGTGCCCGCACAACTCCCGCTGGCCAGCCCGCCGCTGCTCGCCCGCGCACTGGTCGTAGAACCAGGGCGCAAAGACAAGTGCGCGAAGCAGGGGAAAGAGGGGGGAAGGGGGGGGGGGGCGGGAGAGACGTCTGAAGGGCTACGTGTGAGATTCCACGTTGCGTGCGTGAGCCCTGGCGCTCCCTGCAAGGCGGTGCAAATCCTGCCTCTTTCTCCTGCTCCTCCACCTCCTGTCCTCCTGCTCCCCTCTCCTCTCCTCTCCTCTCCTCTCCTCTCCTCTCCTCTCCTCTCCTCTCCTCTCCTCTCCTCCTCCTCTCGCCTCCTCTCCTCTCCTTTTTCCTCTCCTCCCCTCTCCTCATCCCTCCTCTCCTCTCCTCTCCTCTCCTCTCCTCTCCTCTCTCTCCTCTCTCCTCTCCTCTCCTCTCCTCTCCTCCCTCTCCCCTCCCCTCCTCTCCTCTCCTCCTCTGCTCCTCTCCTCCTCTCCTCCTCCTCTCCTCCTCTTCCTCCTCCTCCTCCTCCTCCTCCCATCCTCCTCCTCATCTCGCAGCCCCCGTTCCACCTCAATGTGGGTATCGGGGGAGACGGGCGACAAGAAAGCAGGAAGAGAGAGCCGCGAGCTCCAGGCAGTCAGTGGCATCACTCGGAGCTGCAGCTCAGCAATGGCTAGGAGGGGGGTGGGGAAGGAGGGGGGGACTTCAGAACGTGTAAAAATGTTCCAAGAAGTTCAGGGTGCTCGAGGTGGTTTCCAGGAAAGGGAAGTGCGATGATGACAACGATGTGGATGACAGCGGCGCGGGAAAGGTCGGAGGCCAGCACGAATCACGGCTACGTGGATTGGGGGACTCGGCAAGCTTCGCGATTCCGATTCGCCTCTCCTGCACCCCTCCAATGCCCACGCACTTGGAAACGTTCAGTGCTTCTGCACCCGCACCTGGTGGCATCGCAACTCCGTGCGCGTGGGCATCGAAATCTTAACGATCTCCTGGCTGGCGCGGAGCCTTGCTCCTGTCTAGTCCAATCTGTTCCTTTTTGGGGGGGGAGAGGAGTGAAAAGGGAGGGTGTCGCATCACACCCGTGCATAGGGCGCCTGGCACCTCACAGACAGTGCTCTCAAGGGAAGGCTGCGTTCACGAGCGCTTGCAGAGAACCTCCTCTGAGCCAGCCCCGCCCACTTCTGCCAATCTTGCCACTCTCCCTTCTGCTCATGCTCCTCGTACCCCTTCTCATCCTGCTGCTGCTGCTCCCTTCTCCCCGCCTGCCCCCTCCTCCTCGTCCTCCTCCCCCTCCTTCCCTCTTTTCTTCGTCCTCCCCATCCAGCACATTCCCGCCCTCCTCTTCCTCCTTCCCTTTTCTTCCTCCTCCCCTCCCCCCCTCCCCCTCCTCCTCCTCCTTCCCCTCCTCCTCCTCCTCCTCCTCCTTCCCCTCCTCCTCCTCCTCCTCCTCCTCCTTCCCCTCCTCCTCCTCCTTCCCTCCTCCTCCTCCTCCTCCTCCTCCTCGGGCGGCTCCTTCTCAAAGGTGGGGGCCTCGCCTCGGCACGGCGTGCACTCGTCCTGCCAGCTCGCAGCACTTTACGAGGCTGGGGGGCGGCTCCTCTTCACACCGGGGTTCGCGCGTGGGCCTTCCTCGACTGTGGGAAAAAAGAGAGAGCGAGAGAAAGAGAGAGAGAGCGCTGAACATCTGTGACAGCCGCGCGGGTGGATGGCGATCCTTTTCCAGCGGGCGCTCTCGTTTGAGACTGTCTCGAAGCTCATGGTCAGAGACGTTTTTTTTGTTGCTGTTGTTTTTGTTTTTGTTTTTTCTCACAATAGTTGCACAGGTGGAGGGCGTTCCCTTTTTCAAAATGAGCATCTCGGTGGGCACTCCGAGGATGCAAGGCAGCTCCGTTCAAGACGGGGCTCTCGCCTGAATGGCAAGTCCATGAAGTGTGGTCTTTCAAGGGGGGGCTTCTTGTAAGGAGAAAGAAGCAGTGTAGGGACTTTTGAGGGGAGGACTTGGGATGGGCGGGTGTATTGCAAAATCGTTGGTGCATCTTGGGTTTACTCTGGGCCTCCTCTTCCTCCTCCCCCTCGTCCTTCTCCTTCTCCTTCCTTTTGCTCCTCACGTGATCCCCATCCCGACTCTATTGCTCGTCCTCCCCCCATTACCTGTCATCCGTCCGCCTCCCTTCCCCCTCCTGTTACTCTCCTCTTCGTCCTCATCTTCTTGCTCGCTGGCGCGCCTCCACCTGCGTTTCTGGCATGAAGCCGGTGAACGGCGTCTCCCTGATGACGACGTTGAAAGTAGCCAGCATGGCCGCACGGCCGTGCATGAGCTCCGCCTCACGGTACCACCGCTTGACATTGAAGTCGCCCCCGAAGATCTGGGAGACCTGGGCGTCCTGCTGCCTCCTGCTGCCTACCACCAACCGTGCTCCACTGTTTCTCCACAACGAACTGACGTATTGACAACGCCCACAATCCCTGCCTCTTCGTCGGGGCAACGTTTCCATCCGTTTCCAACTTCAAGCTTATACCTTTCCCCTCCTCCCACTACTCCTTAACTGAGGCTCCGTGTGCACATCGAGGGACTACCCAATATCCCCTCAAGACATGTGACAGCTCCCCCTCCCCATCCGGCGCAACGATGACGCATCCTGCGCGAGTGATCTTCCGCGCGCGAGCTAGAGCTTCTTGAGATTCGTTTCCACGCCTCGTAGTAGTTGGCTCAGGGCATCTTCCATGCCCTTTCCTATTCCTATTTCTCCTACTTATTTCCTTTATGACCTTTTGCTTTTCATTCAGATGCTTCGGGTTCCTTTAAGTCCCACGTGGTCTCTTTTATAGAGCATCGACTTCCATTATGTCTGCGTGCTGTCTTCTATGGATCATTCGTGACCCTTCGGTTTCCATCGCGTATTGCTCACAATTGTTTGTGATGTTCAAATTTCCATGTGACTGTGTCAATTTCTGTGTGCGATCTGGATCTCTTCCTTTGGTTGGCTTCCTTTGGTTCCATCCTGAACGGTCTCTCAGGCTTGTACAGGGCCCATCAATTACTGTACTCTTGAGTAGCTATTGCATCTCATTGAGCTTTCACGGTATTCCCAGAAAGACTCTTGAGGATTCTGGCGTATCCACTTTGGATCGGGTCATGCGTCCATCTGCTTTAAATGTTTCGTTGTTTGGTACTTCGACGTCTGTACTCACCTGTTATGCCAAGTCTGCACGGTTTTGACTCATGGGTCGCTTCCTCTGGGTTCCCTTATAATGGGTTACCGTCCCTTCTCTGACATGCTAATGGTATTTCCTTTCCTCTTGATCCTCTGTTCCATTGCATTGCTTGGTTCGCTCCCTCTGGTTCTCCTGTATTTATGTATTTCGGTTGCGTGCTCATCCCTGTCATTGTCATATACCTCCGTATGCTTTGCCAAGCCTGTTCTTCTTGGCCTAGGGCGTGTTTTGGTTGTCATTGTGTGGTTTCGTCGTGTTCTCATTGTTGTCGCTGCTGCTGTTGTTGTGGTTGCTCTTGTTGCTGCTGTTGTTGTGGTTGTTGTTATTGTGGTGGTGGTTATGGTTGTTGTCGTTGTCTTTGCCGTTGTCGTTTTCGGTGTCGCCGCTGTTGTTGTAGTCGCTGCTGCTGCTGCTGTTGTTGTGGTTGTAGTTGGGGTCGCGCTTTTTTGTTGTTAAAAACGCCTTTACCCCTTCCTCCTCCGCCCCTCCCACCTGCCCACCTGCCCCCTGACGAGGAGGAGACGCAACCGCTTGCATCACATGCACCGCGGGCGTCGCAAGCGAGCGAATCCGTCTACAACAACACGCAACCGTCCTGAGCACCCGCGTGGCATGGATCGAATGTCCCCTCCCTTAGTCTCTACTTCTCTACTTTCTCCTCCTCCTCCTCCTCCTCCCCTTCCCCTTCCCCTCCTCCTCCTCCTCCTCCTCCTCCTCCTCCTCCTCCCCATCACCCTTCTTATTTTCCTTGTCCTCCTCTTTCTCGTCCCACCACATGCTCTTTTTCGTCCTCCGCTGCCCCGAGGGGGGTGGGGGGGAGGGGGGGAGAAGGAAGATCTCCTCCTCCTCCTCCTCCGCCTCCTCCTCCTCGTCCTCGTCATCCAAAATAGTCCCCTGCCGACCTGGCTGATGAAGCCGTCTGAGGAGAACCCAAGCGGGTCGAAGCCAAGGTCGCCCGGGAAGTCCTCTGCGCCAGGCCATTCGTTGCCGTCGTTGGCGACATCGTCGCATCTGTTTTCGTTGTCCTTCTCCCTCCTCCTCCTTCTCCTCCTCCTCCTCCCTCCTTCTCCTCCTCCTCCTCCTCCTCCTTCTCCCCTTCACCCTCTTCCTCCTCCGCCTTCTTCTCCTTTCCCGGTCTTCGGGGGGCACGGCGGTGCGAGGGCTCCGCGGGAAGCCCAGGGCGTGATTGCAAGCAGCCCGCAGGCCCCCCCCGCTCTGTGCGGAGAGGGGAGGCCAGGGGAGGAGGAGCGTGCGAGGTGGATGAGGGAAGGCGGGAGGAGAAGACGGAGGAGGAGGCGGAGGAGGAAGAGGAGGAGGATGAGAAGGAGGAGGAGGAGGAGGACGAAGAGGAAGAGGAGGAGGAGTGGGATGAGGACAAGGAGGACAAGGACGAGGACAAGGGGAGGAGGAGAAGGAGGAGGAGGAGGAGGAGGAGGGGGAGGAGGAGGAGGAGGAGGGAGAACGGGGGTCAGGCGGGCGAGGTAGAGGGATGTGGAGCATGGGAAAAGGTGGAAGGATGGATGGGAGGGGGGAAGAGGGGAAGGGGGAGGGTACATTATTTGAACGCCTGGCGTTTTGCTTGCGAATGCGTCTGCCGCTGAGCCAAAGAGTGCTCGTTTTGTCTGAAGCGGGCTGCAGCATCGTTGATGTATCCTGGGTTTACTCTGGTCCTACTGTTCCTCCTGCTCGGGGAGTGGGGGGAGGAAGGGGAACAGCAGGAGGGAGGGAGGAGAGGGAGAAGGAGGAGGTGGTGTAGCAGGAGGAGGAGGCGGCGGCGGAGGAGGACAGAGAGACGAACAAGGCAGAGGACGGGGAAGGGGACGAGGAGGCCGACGAGGAGGGGGACAAGGAAAACGACGACGACGACGATTTCTGGGCGGGGTGGGAGGAACGTGTTCTCACCTCCCAGAGGGCGGGCCTGCGGGCCTGGGGACCCCGGAGGGGGGGGTGGGCGCAGTGCGCTCCAGGGGTCCCGATCACCCGGTCTGCGATCTCCAGGAAGGCATCGTGCTCTTCCTGGTCCTCCTCCTGGGCCTCCTCCTCCGCCTCAGCCCCTCCCTCCCGCAGCTGCTGCTCCTCCTCCTCGGTCGCCTGCCCCTCCTCCTCACCCTTCTCCTTGCCCTCCCCATGCTCCACCACTACAGCTTCCTCCTGCTGCTGCTCCTTCTCTTTCTGCCCTTCCCCCGTTACCTCCTCCTCCTCCTGCTCCTCCTCCTCTTCCTCCTCCTCCCTCCGTCTCCTCCTCCTGCACGTCCGCGTCGGCCTCCTCGTCCTCATCATCTCCTTCTTATCCACCTCTTTCTCTACTTTTTCCCCTCCCCCCATAATATTTCTCCTCGCCGTCCTCCTCTTCGGGGTCATTGATACGTTGATAGTAAGCCGTAGCAGTTTTCATCTACATAAGATCATGAACGCACCTGCGGCCATGGGATTGGAGGGTGAAGTCAATTGCTGGAGCTGGATGTACTGAGCCGTTGTTTTATCAATCCCCATGTTTCTCTTTTCCATCGCCGCTGTGGTTGTCGTCGCACCTGCCGCCTCCGCCACCGCTGTTATCGTCATCATCGTCGCCAGTATCCTCCTCTTCCTACTGCTGCTGCTGCTGCTGCTCCTCCTTCTCCTCCTCCTCCTCCTCGTCCTCCTCCTCCTCCTCCTCCTCCTCCTCCCTAGAAGCACAACAACCCCGCTGCTTGTCTTACTGAGAAGCTCCTGGTTCAGCGGGTCACCCGTCAGGTGGCTGGGGACATTCATCCATGGCAACGCCTGGGCACGATTTGGGGCTGCCCTGTCGCCTCTATTGCTGCCTCTGCTGCTTGTGCTGCCGTCCGCTGACGCAGTCCTGTATTGCAGACAGCCGTGGCCTCCCTCTCCCCCTTCTTTTTACTTTCTCCTCGTCTACCTTCTCCTCCTCCGCCTCCCCTCCTCCTCTCCCTTTTCCCTCGTAGTCCCCCTTCAACTATGAATATATTGTTGTTTGTTGTTGTCTCTCTCTCTCTCTCTCCTCTTCCGCCTCTTTCCCCTCTGTCCCCCCTACCCTCCTACTCCTCTCCGCCTTACCCCGCCATGGACATCTCTTGGTTCTGAAACGAGTCGTGGTTGACTAATCAAGGTGAACTGTCTGCTCAACGCAAGCGCAAGCTAGATCCGGAACAACCGTCGGATCGCGTGGCTTTCCTGCGCCCCTCACCGTGATGAGACGCGGGCCACCTGACTGCTGGAATGCTAGACGCTCGTGCCTCCTCTTCCCCATCAGGGAGGGGTAAGGATAGAGAGCAGAAGCTCCCCCCCCTACAATAAGCACCGCGACAAGTGAAGCCGCGTAGTAAACGCACCCAGGGGAGGAATCGAACAGGGCAGGGCTCCTTCGTAAGCGCCACTCATCGGGGTCGGTGTGGTTTGTCCCCCCTTGGTTCGGCGGTGGACAAGCCTCCCTTTAGTAAGCCTCCCTTAGTGAAAACGGCCTGGGACCGAAACCGACGGACCTGGACACGCAACAATGACGGCCGCGACGCCCTCTCGCGAACCGAACACGGCCAGTTCACTGATCGACGAGCCAGGGCAGGAGGTCTATCCACCTCCGAGAGTCCCCCCCTGGTAAGGACGAGGGAGAAGCCGACACCAGCTGCTCTGCCTGCTCCATCCCCCGTGCCTGCTGCCCCTCCACTCGGCCCTCCTCGGGCGCGGCAGGGGGCGTCGCTGGCCCCGCCGCCCCCGCCCCTCTCCCTGCTCCTGCCGATCCTCCTCGTGCGCCTCGTCGTCCTCTTCCCCTGCTCCTGCCGATGCTCCCGGTCCGCCCCTTCGCTCCCCTTGCCGTCGCTGGGACGTCCAGACGCCCCGTGGCCTCTTCGGCTTCGTGCGCGCACTTTTTCGGCACGATGGCCCAGGAGGCTTCTCGATGGCCCTCGCCGGGGGAAGAGGCACACGCCCGAGCGATGCCAAGCCCCCTCTTTTTCCTCCCGCTGTTCCCCCTCTCCTGCTACCAGCTCTGCTCCGCGGACCCCTCCCTGCCCTCGCCGTCCTGGTCCTCCTCTTCTCGTCGCCGTCGCCCTCGCGCTCCCCCTGCCCCCCCTCCTCGTCTCACTCCTCCTCGGCCTCCGCTCCCTTCCCTTCTGCTGCTCCTCCCGCTCCTATGCCTCCTTCTCCTCCTACTCCTCCTCCTCCTCCTCGCCCTCGCCCTGCGAGAAGGAGGCGTGCAGGCACGGAGGACCAAGCTCCGTCAGCAGCACGCCGCCGCCGCCCGCACGGAGCAGGCCGCACGGTACGACGGAGCAGCTCCGCACGAGGGCACGCGCCGGAGGGAGCAGGAGGAGCCCGTGTGAGGGAGAGGCGGCGCACCACGGTCGCCATTCTCCTTCTCCCGTGGCTGCCGCCGCTCCTCCGCCCGCCCCTGGCCTCGGCCACGCCTTCGGGGCCTGCCTTGGGGCTCTCTTGCTCCGTCCTGGCGGATCTGGGGGCTGGCCCTAGCAACGAGCTTCTCCTTCGATATTCTTTTTGTACTTTTGCTTCCTGGCTCTACGAGCGCCCACAGCGGCCCCCAAGACCCACCCGAGTGGGCATCCGAGGCTCGCAATGGGGACCCAATGTGCGCCCAGGGTGGGACCACGATAGGGGGTCAAAGCTCCCCGCCACGAGTTAGGAATGGATGAGCCGGAGCCACCGCTCGAGACACCCTCGCTGCCCATCCGCTCCCAGATCCCAAGATAGGACAGCACTGTTCATGCCAACCCATCTTAATTCCTTGTCCAGGAGATCGTGAAGGTAAAACACCAAAAGCAACTTCTGGAGCTGCATGGCGGGGACCTGAGCCACTTCGTCATGTTGACCGGGAGCGCTGTTCGCTTTCTGGGCGCGCGTGGCAACCTCTTTTCCGCTCAGCAACTTCCTCTGGGGAAGCGATCTGCTTCCTCCCCCTTCTTCCTGTTCCTCATGCCCTAGCCCTCCTTCGCCATTCCTCCCCCCTCTTTTTCATCCCCCTCCTCCATCCGTTTGCCTGGCCCCTGGCCCCCCTCGCGATGCAAATGCCATTCAAGAACCAATGTATATCCAATGCGACCTGCATTGGAGAATAGGCAAAACTTGAGCACAATGGAAAATAAT